ATATATATATATATATATATATATATATATATATATATATATATATATATAGTGAAATATTGCTTGGCCATGGAATGGAATGGGTTTGCCATCTGCGGTCGCATGGATGGACCTGGAGGGTATTGTGCTGAGTGGATTATCAGACAGAGAAAGACAGATGCAATGTGATTTCACTCATTTGTGGAATCTAAAGAACAACATAAACAAAACAGAAACAAACTCATAGATACAGAAAACAAATTGATGATTGCCAGAAGAGAAAGAATTTGGGGGTGAATAAAAAAGGGGAAGGGATTAAGAAGTACAAATTTGTTGTTACACAGTAGTTGTGGGGATGTAAGGTATAGCATAAGGAACGCAGTCAATAATATTGTAATAACTATGTATGGTGTCAGATGGGTATTAAATTTGTTGGGGTGATAGATGGGAGGAGATTGGAGGAGCAGGGTAAAAAGATGAAGGTATAAGAAATATAGATTGGTAGTTACAGAATAATCATAGGGATATAAAGTAAAACATAGGGAATATGATCAATAATATGGTAATAACTATGTATAATGCCCAGTGGCTACTAGACTAGTCAGGGTTATCTCTTCTTAAGATATAAAAATGTCTAACCATATGCCTAACCGTAAAATATAAAAATATCAAACTGTACACCTGAAATTAATATAAAGTAATATTGAACGTCAACTGTAACTGAAAAATTTCAAAAGTGGGAGGCGAAGGAGAAGGGCAATAAGAGGTCCAAATTTCCAGGTATAAAACAAATAAGTCACAGGGATGTAATGCACAGCATGGGGAATATAGTCAATAATGTTGTAATAGCGTGGTACAATGTCAGATGGGTGCTGGAGTTATCATGGTGATCACTTCTTGAGATATATAAATGTTGAATAACTATGGTGTGCCCCTGAAACTAATATAATCTTCTATGCTAACTATATTTTTAATAAAATTATTTTAAAAATAAAAAAATAAGTAAATAAAAATTAAAAAAAACACATAAACTTTATTTTTTAGAGAAAATCTGATCTTATAACTGTACTTAACAATGAAAAAGAATGAAATATTTGTGAAGTACAACAAAAAGGGAATTTTTCTTTTCTACCCAGTCCCTAAAATAGCTTTTCAACATATCCATCACCTTAGAAAAAAAAGTTATTAGCTATTCTAAAGCAATTAAGTAAGAACCACTTTCTTCCAATTCTCATGCATGTATATACTGGGGATGCCAAAAAAATGTATACAAGTGGACACTTTGGTCAACGTTGCTCAAGCAGTAGTTCGCCATAATCAGAAGTGTCTGGACACTGATGGTAACCACTTTGAGCACCCCTTGTAATTGCAGAAGTCAAACGTGACTTGTATTTATCTTTCGTTATCAGTATATATTGAGTATTACAATTTTAATACTTTTTTTCTTTTCTTAAAATGTGTATACATTTTTGGGCACCGTGTGTGTGTGTGTGTATAATTGTTAAGTAATTTTATAGACAAGAACTTTGTATTTTATCTATCTGAAGGTCTTTATGGGGTCAGATCTGGAAAGTGGTGTTAGTAGAGCGAAATCTTAATTTGAAATGCTTTTTTCATTTTTCATTGGTGTCTTTTAGTCACTACTTTAAATGAATGCCAATTTCTATTTATCACTGCCCAAACCATAAGTGAGTGAGAAAAGGAGATTATGCATTTGGTCACAAAATATTAATGTAAAGTTCTAAAAGTGAAAGAATGGTTTGTTTATGATTTGTCTACAAACACGTTTGTTTTACATAAATGGCTGTTTTACAATTTGAAATGTGAATATATTTTATTTTTTCCCAGTGAGTACACAATACACAATTCTTTGACAATACTATTAATCAATGTTATGCCAATTTCTTTTCTGATCTAACAACATCAAATGAAACACATTAAGATTTTGGACGCTGTTTGGTGACTTAAACAAACTACAGTTAAAAAAGGATCCATCTATAAAACAAAGTATAAAAAGTCTATCCACGGCCACAAAATCCCTTTATCTTGCAACACGTTAAAGTCACAATAAATGCTTTTGAAAATTATAAGAGAAGATAAATTAGTAATTGAACTTCATTTAAAAAAATGTATGGTGTTTCATTTGAAGTACATAGTAGAGAAGCAAAATAAAAGTAACTTTACCTGTAAGATAATGTGGAAAGACATATTGCTTTACACTAATTCTTGTCATGTAATTCTATAAATACAATACACAGAAACAGATGAACAAATTAGTGAATCTCATGGTTCTGCATATCTTTAATACTGACATACAATCACTTTCCAGGGGAGAAGATAAACCACAGTTTTGAGTTCATTGGTATTGTTATAATTATGTTGTCAATGGACAATTACATAAATTAGTTGAATAGGAATTTGGTGTGGGGGGGTGTTCTATCAAGCTCATGCAAACTTTCAACTCAAATTCCATTGAAAATATATGTAAGTAACCAGAGCATTAAACTATGACATAGAACACCATTTAATGTTTTGTTATCCAAAGCAAGTCAACTTGCGATGTTTTTTCTTCCTTTGGTTATATGATATGTCATGTGAAGGCCTCGCTTTCCCTATATTCTCCCTTGAACTGAATTCAAATCTTGAGAAGGAATCAATTGTTTCATGCCTCTGTACTCCCCCATCTTACTTAAAAAAATGTCTCATGTAAAAGATTTGGAGAAGGGGTAGCTCAGCTCTGCCTGCATACGCTGAAGCATACGTGACTTGGGACAATGGATTCTGGTAGTTCCCTAACGGAGGCTTTGCAGGTTAAGAATGGGGCTGTGCTTGTGCACAGTAGCATTGCCGGGGAGTGCAAAATAAGATGACATTCTCTCCCTCCCAGATTTCCTTTTGACAGCTTATGTGGGCCTCTGTTTAGACCTGCAGAAGAGTGAGCTCAGCGAGTTTCTAACCAGTCATTTAATTGGCTACAAAATGAAAAATTGTGGTAGTTCTCATACATGTTTGTATTCTCCTAATGCTACTTTGACTTATAGGGAGTTGACAAAGGCTTTTGCTTTTTTGACAGTGTTCCTGAAGTAATCTGGCTAGCCACAGTTTTTAATCTTCCTGTATATCTATTTGAGAATGGCATTTCACGTGCAAGATTTGATCAACCAATTCATTTAAAACTAGATTTAACAGGGAATGTGGACTACTTTAAAAAAACATTCTAAGAAACCATAAGGTCTGCACTGACATAATCTAACCACGAGAGTTAATTTTATGCACTGGAGACACTAAGGATGCATACCCAACCTTATTCCAGAAGTCACGTGCATACACATACTCTGTTTTTGAAGTCACGGTTTATTAGTCACATACACCTGCCAATTGCTAGGGGTCAGAGGCTATGCGTAATATGTGTAATGAACTAAAGTTTTAACATAATTGGGTTATAGAGGAATGTAAAGACAAAACACAAATGAACAAAACTTTGTTTGATTTTACCCAGAAAGAGGTGAAGTAGGGAGCTGCATGAATCAAATTTAAATTCCTTACTTCCTTCTGTTGTGAAGTATGTAGTCATTCTTACCAGAAACTCTTCATCTTCCCCAGTCTCTTTGTTCCAGAGAAATCAAACTGCATTAAAATTCAGATACTTCTGGGAGAAAGATGATAAAGTGTTTAACATGTGTGTCTCAGAATTATTTTTCTCCTCAGTGAAAAAATAAACTACACGGCACCAAGATATTGGGGCCCATAAAAGACATTATGTTTCTCTACCCTTGCATGTATTGATGCAGTCTCAGGAAATAAAAAAAGATGGACACAGTTAATCTTGCCATTGCTGTAACAATACGACATACAATTGGTGACTGAGCCAAAAATGCACAAAGCGTGGTTTGTCATTCAAACGGGTCCCGAATGAAAATTGATCCTTATCATTACATTGGGTATGTTTTTAAACTACCAACTACTGAACACATCTTAGGGAAAACATGAGAAAGTAAAACTAGAAATAGAATTTACAGCTGTGTAGGCAGCGCATGGGAAAATGCCACATGTGGAAATTTCATGTGCGTTCTCTTCTACTTGACTGATTGACTATACATGTACAGTAGCTAACGTATATTTCAAAGTCATGTTCACTTTGACCATGTATGACTGATGCTCAGAACCTTTTGTTCTAAAAGTCGTGAAAACAAATGAGGCAGGACACTGTTATTAATGTCCACTTATGAGGTTTGGTTTTATTTAAAAAGTGTATAAACATGCATTTTTCTCCTTTTCAATTTTTCTTTCAATTTACTCATTCAAAATGGGTCAAACATATTTTAGTTGGTAGCCAATTTCTGAGAATATACCATAAAATATTTATTCCAATAAATCTACTGACGGTGAACTGAACATACTCTGAGCACTGCTTTTTAAGCACTTAACGATTTGGCTATACATTTGGTGGCATAAACTTCACTTCTTAATCAAATGGAACACAAAATTGTATATAGACTGCATTATTTTTTAAAAGTCATGAATCGAAGTGATGCAGCTCTCTCCTCTAGCATGTACTGTACATGTATCAGAAAGATGAAACAAGATATTACAATAGAGTTTTTGTATTTAGAAGCAGCCCGAGTATGTCCTAATAATAAATTGCCTCTTTAACTATTTGCTGGATACTCTCGAGTTCATTTGGTTTGTTTCCTTGGGGAACATCATATTATATTCTGGCTTAATGAGTTGGAGAGATTAATTATGGTAATTCAGAAAATGCTCTTTTAAAAAACTGTAATATAAATACAGCTCTTGTGAAACACCTTAATTTTTTTTTTTTGCTTGTTGTAATTCTCAGATGGGTCAATTATGATGACAGGTGATGTTGATTCTAAATATAACTTTCATTTACCTTTTATCTTTTTAAGTAAGTTTAGTACATCTTTGCTACCTGTATATTTTAGTGCCTACTCAGTCTTAAGACTTAAACTTCCTTCTTTTGACCCCTGCTTTTGTCATGGTAAAAGCCACCTTTCTGCCTTTTTTTTTTTTTTATTGACTCAGTCCCTGGTGTTCAAAGAAGACTTTGCCAACAACCACCGTTCCTTCGCATCTTCCTATTTCTACACCCCAACCAAAACCTTCTAACGTGATTCGTTACAACCAGCAATACCCAACCTAGCTTACAGTACAGACACTCCCTTCACATTCAGTCTTTTTCTTCATGTCACGAGGAGTAGAGATTTGTGCTTATCACCAAATAAAATTGCAGTGCAAAATTTAAACATAAAAGTTACACAATTAAAAGTTAATATATGGCACCACAGCCTATTAATTCACATATAGTACAACAGACCAATAAGAACAGACAATAATATGAACAGAGCTAAAAAGAGTGAGCTTGCATAGCAATGCACAAAAGAAATTATATACAGAGGAAAATCCTTTTCTTCCTGGAGGGCGAGCTTTGTTTTCTTTCTTTTTTATATACTCCTGACAAGAAAGAGTTAAGGTGGGTGGTGTACGTAAGAGAAGAACACAAGTAAAATATCTGTGGGATATGTGTGGCTGTGTGTCTTTACATTGCATTTACAGTTCTTTCAATAGTACATAAATAAAGAAATTGTTCATTGCACTGTTTAGTGTCATCACTTCCATGAGTTCAGACCTGATGGTCCTTCAGAGCAGCTTTGCATGTCTCCTCTCAGTTACTCTAGAGAGAGAAAAAAACAAATCAGAGATAAGTTTGCATTTAAATTAAGTATTCTTTTATTCTGAGCAGCAAAAACCAAAACCAAAGCCAACCAATAATAAAGATAACATCATCAAATAGATTCTGTGAGTTTTTGAATTTAAGCAATTTTACTTGAATGATATAGGAAGTGGGGAAAAAACAAAACAAAACTCTTGCAGAATTTGGAGATTTAAAATCCAAGTGGCGTTATTTTTGCACTTCAGTGAGTCTGTAATTACTCCAAAATAAAAGTTAAAGAAAAATCCAAGTAGTCATGAATTGAATGAACATATCTTAATAATAATTCAATTAGTAATAGACAATAATAACTTCCATCAACAAAGAACTTCACAGTTTTGAAAGTCCTTTTACTTTTCATTATCTCACGACATCCCCCAGTCTGCAATGTGAGCATAATAGTAATGCCATTTTTCAGGTAAGGAGACAAGATTAGGGAAGTAGCTTACTTTGTCTGCTCATATAACCAATAAGTAGTTGAAAAGTTTGGAACGCAGAGCTGTTCCTTAGCAGTGTTTTTGGACTCTATTCAAACAAACAGTTGAAAATATTCAGCAAGAAAATATTCAGAACAAATAATTCTGACACTGGACAGCAAAATTGTTAACTTTCCTGATAAAATTAATGTGAATTCAATGGCTTTTACTGAGACATCCTATCTTTCTCTGTTATTTAGTATTTTATATCTAGAAAATAGATTAGTTATCAAAATACTAATGCCAGTTCTTTATTTAAAAAGAGAAATTTATTTCTGAGATATGTTATAATAATCAAAATATTACAAATTAACTAAAATCGAAGATCATCTTTTCAAAGTTAACTCCCCAAATTTAAAAATAAAGAATTCCTTTTTCTTTAAAATTATGAGTCAATATGCTTCCCTTTTTTATTGTACTGAGTTAAAAGGGCAAAGAAAACTACAAAGTGGGGCCGGCCGAGTGGCCCGATGGTTAAGAACTCGCTTGGGATGCTAGAGGGCCCCGGTTCGGATCCCACATATGAGGGCCAGTGACACTGCCCTCCACAGCTAAGATGCTGAATAACAGCTCAACCTGGAGCTGGGCTGCCATGAGTCGCCGGTGAAGGCGTAGGCTACAGCCCCTGTGGCAGTGCATTGCCATGGGCTACCGTGTGTAGCCAGCAGCCAGCGTGAGCGGCCAGCAGCCGCAGTGAGCGGCCTTCCAGAAGCCTGTGACTGATCTGCCTCGCCAGAGAAGAGCGCAATGATGGTGCCAACTTGGGCCCGTGAAGCAACGTCCTCCACAACTAGATTGAAGAACAAAACGACAGCAACTTGTCTGTTCCCCTTTCCCCAATTCCCCAGCACTGTTCCCATCCCCCTAATTCCTCAATAAAAATCTTAAAAAAAAAAAACAAAAAAAAAACTACAAAGTGAACTGTATTTAATGAACTTGTAAGTATTCAGATTAACTGCATAAATTAAAACTTTTTTTGTATCATAGAAATCCAACTTGAAATAGAAGAGATATGAATTTCATTGACTACGGTAAATAGCCATGGTCAAAGTTATGACCAAACCTGCTCAAAATCATATTTGATTTTTTTTTGTCATAGTAGAGCAAGTTTTCTACTATTCTGAAATTTGTTTATTATGCCAATGTCATTGATGGGGTTCAGGAAATGCTACCCCCAGATATGGCACCTTGGCATACTGAATATCTTAAGCTGAAGGACTTTGAGGAACCGGCACAAGCAGGAAGGTCATGGCGACCTTGCCCCTTCACCCTTCTTCCCTGAAACAGGTCCTAGAACTCCCACGTGAAAGGAACCTCCTCCCCTCCCCCTCCCGTACCAGGAGGAAGGAGAACTTTCTGATCAGGAGCCTGGGAATTTGGGGCCGAGTAATCTATAAATAAACCTTGTTAAACTAACCCGTATCTTCTTAGTTACTTCTTCACCGTTTCCTGCCTCTAGCCCAGACCCCTCTGTCTTGTATATTCTTCACACATGTATCGTTTCTTTGTCTAAAAGGTAGAAAAGCTTCCCAATCTGGTCACTGCTTTGGGTCTTCATCCTCTTGTGATGGCTCCCATGTCCATGTAAAACTTCAATAAAATGTGTATGCTTTTTTCCTGTTCATCTGTCTTTGTCAGTTTAATTTCAGACCCAGCCTAAGAGGGGTGAGGACAAAAATTTTCCTCCCCTATGTTATTAACCCAATATTCTTTCTGAATCACCACAACCTTTGAAATGTCCTAAAGCACTTACATAATTCACCTGTAAACTGTCCTTGACTATTTGAGCCCATATATCCTATGTCAAGAAGGTCGCTGGCATTGCGCTGGTGGCCCCCCCTCAATGCCTCGGCTTTCCTGGGTCCAGTGGATCCTTTAGAAGAAGCTGTTCCTGATGAGCTGTGGCCTCCTGGAGACGGGAAACTGGGCTTGCTGTAGGGCACCAAGGTCTCCTCTGGGGGAAAGAAACACAAAACAAAACACACACAAAAGGCTAAGTTAAACAGCAACATGTTGGCAAAACAACTTTAAATATTTAGCTGAAGGTAAACTATTTGACCATTTTGCTCCTTAAGAAAATTAAAAATTGGAGGTTTAATAAGTCCAAGATATTAAAGGAATTTCGATGTTCAAGCAACATTTCCTAGGATATGAAACTGAAACAGGATTAAATTAAAAGAGACCTTGGGATAAGGTACAATATTACATATCATTTGCAAAATTTAAATTTATTATAAAAGATCTGCATACAACAAGCCATACTGTTTAACAAATGCATTTTGGAGAATATTTTCTGGAGTTCAGTGAGGCTCCAATTTAATTTGTCTATTAAGATCGAAGAAACATAGTTTTGATTTTCAATTACGGCAACATTTTCTCAACTTAGATAAAGAACTATGTACATATTAGTTATTAAAATAAGCTTGTTAAATTTCTGTTATATCTTGGGATAGAAATACATAATTTGATAGGCTGTGTTCTTCCTTAATAGAAAAAGAGAAACTCATACATTTTAATACAGAATGTGTTGATATTCTTTTTATGTACCATTTCTCCACAAATAACTCATGATGTGCATTACTAAACACTTAATACTTTGAAATATTTTTTCTTTATTTCTTCCTTTTTTTCCCTCTTTCTTGCCCTCCTTCCCTCCCTTTCCCCCTTCCTTCTTCCCCTTCCCCCACTCCCTCCCCCACCCCCCCCCCTTTTTTTTTTCTTTCTAGGTAGGGGCCATTATTACTGTGATTAAATGACTAAAAACATGCTGACTGAATTTAGTATTTCTTTCCTTAGATAATCTTTAATGAATGACAAAGATAACAAGATTCTTCTCTCACAACCTGAATGATGCAGCATTCTTAAAATATTTTATTGAACCTAAGTATGAAAATTATCATCTTTTGGCCACTGCATAAATTATATTTCCTAAAACTCTAAGTGCTAACTTGTGACAAAATATAGTTACTGAAAATGCATGGCTAAAAGTGATATCTAGAAAAGATTCAGTCCAAATGAATAAATGAATGTATAAGGAAACTCTGAATGTGTGTGGTGTGTGTGTGCACGTGTGTGTGTGTGTGTGTGTGTGTGAGATACTTACTGAATCCTGACATAAAAAGAGATGTTCCAGAAAATTCATTTCTATAACAGGCCTAACGCCCTCCCCACCAAAAAAACTCCAACCTCAAACCATGACATGTATTTTATGACATTTCCATGAAACTTGATTTATAAACAAGAACACACCTCATTGAATTGTTAACAATCAACTAAAATAAATGAAAGTGTTAGAGAAAGTGTTGGCCCAGTTTAACCTTTTCTAACATGAGGATTTTATAATGGAGATTTTTTTGTAACTTTGTTAGTTTAATTAATCTTGCTATTTGACTGAAGTGGGTTTTCCTTTCAAAATGACTAGTTTCTTCAGTCAAAATGAATAAGCTAGTTGAAGGTAGAGTTTAAACTGACACTAAAGATCAAATTTTGTGCCCTCAAAAGTACTCAATATAAACATTAAAAGCAAAAAAGTCAAATTGTCTCCTAAGCACTACAGATGGAGGTGGGGGTCTCTGGGCTCAAAGGTCCTATGCAGAGGTTAACATGAGGAACAGTCCCTAGTAGGACATGCTGGTGAGCTGGGCTGTGGAATGCCAACTTCAATTAGCGATTCGAGGCAAATGTGTTTCCGATGCACTTAACAGCTGCCATTTCTAAAATACCTGGTAAAAAAAAAAAGGGTAAAAGTCCACACTTTCTTGGGACTGTGCAGAACACACCTGGTCCGACACCTTGTTTGTGTAGGGCTTTCCGTATATCTTCTTGGCGTTCTGTGGAGTTAATCCATTCCTGGGTTTGTCGCTGCCACTCTAGGGACGTTCTAGCTGGACACTCCAGTGAGCTCTTTGTGTCTTCTAAGCTGGATGCTTGTTGTCTCTCCAGAGAGCTTCCTTTTCTCTCTGTTGAGCTTTCCACGTTACCAGCATGCTGGCTCGGGCCTATGTGCTGCCTTAAACCCTGACCTGGAGGGGGGTCTGGTGGTGGTGGAAGATCTAAAAATTGTGAATAATGTTTAGAATTGGACTAACATTTAATGAAAAGTACAGGTTTTAGTTCAAGATGAAGAAAAAACTCTTGCCCTCCTAAAGGTACCACCCATGCAAAAGAAATTCTGGGGACAAAAAGGCCAGTTATTTATATCCAAAATATATATTACTGATGTTGTTATGTTTTGATCACAGTTCCCTTGAAATAAAGTCAACTGATTTTATTCAACTGTTATATATGAAAGTGTTTTCAATTGCACATTGAGGCTAATATCAAGGGGTAAAAGGAAGCTGATGGCTTCTCCATACTGAATCTATTGTCTAAATCCACCTCCCTAATGTTGAAATACTATGACACAAAATGACTAGAAATTCTTGCAGCTGTGCTAATAAAAGGCTCTGGGAAGAATAAAAGCCATCCCGCTAATCTCCATAGGAAATGTTGCCCTCGGGAAATTAAGAACTATATGCTGTATCATATGCAACATATGACTGCCTTTACCCACGTATGTGGCACATTTAGCAACAGTCAAAAGGTTAAGCTAACATTTATGAAATGCAATTAACATTTTGTCTGACAACCAATGCTGGCTGTTCGTTTCATGAGTTAGCTAATGAGTTACAACTAATATATTATAATCTTCCAAAGTATTAATTTTAATAGGTAGTAACCAATTTTCACAGTACAGATAGAATATGGTTCACTGTGTTAGAGTAGACAATGCATCACGAACATTTGAGATGTAATGGAATAGATAATTTTTCAGAACAGCTCTTTAAATATCAGATATGAAAAAATGAAAAGTTCAAAGACTTAGCTAATTTTTCATTTTCCTTTTATTAGCTCTTCAGATTGTGATACCTTTATATTTTTAATGTCTTCAATTGAGAAATCATAGTCCCTTGTTTCATATTTCTTTTGGTATTATACTAGTACTCTAATATGATTTATATTATTATACTAGTTTTGAAATTACTTTGGTGAGGATTTTGAAATCTTCTAGATTGTCTAAACATTCTTTTGAATTATTTTCTTTTATTTTTTTTCTGGCATGCTATTGAAACTTCTTTGTTCATGCTTAGAGTATCAGTAATTATATTATGAGTTCATAAAGACCTAATATCATATATAAATATATACTATATGTATTTATTTTATTATAGAGGACATATTTTATAATATAAGTAATTATTTCCTATGCCATTTTTTTGTAATTGTGCTCGTGTCTAATAATATTGTTTGCAAAATTTAAAAGGGTAAAGTATAAATTTTTTGTACAAAAGTAGCTTCCTTGGAAGGTTACATTGCTCCTTTTAAACACTTTAAGACATTTTATATTTCCTTTATGAGCAAAATGACATTGTCCTCCATTGCATTGATAATGATGATCTCCTCAGCATTTGCTCAGTGAGTTCCCATGTTGGAGCAGCACTCCTAGTTCTTATCTATGTTTTCTTCTTAGGTTATGGCTGACTAATTAATGAAGGGGACAGAGTTTCTGTCTGGGAGAATCAAGTTGAATTTGAAACCTTTCTTTCAAAATGAAAAGCTAATCCAATATTGAGATATCTGTTTGTTGAATAATCCACAAATGAGTTAGGTGTTTCCTTTGCATTCCATACTGATTTCCTTCAGTATGTATTATTACAAATGCAAATTAATTATTTCATTTGAATTATTGGATTTAAAGACTGCCAGTAGGAGAGGAATTACTGTACTGTCTTCCAAAATAACATATCTTATCATTGATTTTTATTCTCCATCAGAGTAGCTTAATTTTTAAAATGGTCAAAATGGCATCTGCTCATACATGCTAGCTAAAATTCTGATTACTGTTTAATTTAACCTGAAATTATACAGCTACATAATTAAGTAATATCCTTGGAGTTTGTATATCCTAAAAAGAAAGAACATTGCATGCACATTGAAATAAACAAATTGGAAAAAAAGATGATATTAAAAATAGCTGTGGAAAAAATAAAAGTATGTAACCAAATATGTTTACTTAAATTAAATTTATTATTCATTTCTATGTTGACTCATTTTAACTAAATCAATTCACTAAAGAGTCTCTGACTGGCCTACTGAGGATTTGCTATTGTCAGGCACACAGCAGTCCAGTGGTATATGTGCCGTTATTATCCTCTTTCTTTTTTAGGTTAGAAAAAGGAGCTACAAAGAAATTAAGTATCTCCAGTCTGGACCTCTCTTCCCATGAACTCCAGGCTCAAATCCACACTGACTAGTTTGACATATACATTAAAAGGTCTCTCAAATGTCACACATCAAACCTGAGTTCTAAGTCCTCCTATACAGAACATGCTTCCTCTCTAGCGTTCTTCATCTCAATTAGTAGCAATTTCATTCTATAAGTTTCCCAAAATTTAGGTGCAATTTTTGACTTCCCTGCTTTACAGCCCATATTAATTTCATGAACAAATCCTGTGGGCTCCACCTCAAACTATCTCCAGAATTCAACCTTTCTCATTGCTTCCACTGATTCTACCTTGGTTTGAACCACTAGCATCTATTCCCTGTATTACTCCTACAACTTCCTAGGTAGTTTCTGTGACTCCACACAGAAGCATGTTCTGCTTATCTTGACATAATAGCTAGAGTGACTCTTTTATAAAAGCAAAAGTAAGATCATATCTCCCCTCAGCTTTAAACGTACACGTGTATGCACATCCAGTGGTTTCCCATTCAAAGTAAGAGCCAATGTCCTTATGGAAGTTTAGAGGTCCTACAAACTCTGGCCCTTGCTTACTTGTCTGACTTCATATTCTATTTGGCTACCCTTTCTGCTTCAGTCACACTGCTCCTCTTGCTTTTCATCAAATAAACTTGAGGCTCTCACTTGCTGTTCTCATTTCCTGGAATGACTTTTCCTCAGATATCAGCATTGCTCTTTCCTTTATAATCTTCCAGTCTTTTCTCAAATGTCATCTTCATGGTAAAGCCTTCCCTGAGGACTCTACTAAAAAAAAATTCCCCCCTCCACCCTTGTATTTCTCAACTTCCTTCTGATAATTTTTTTTCCTCCATGACACTTACTAGCATCTTACATACTTCTAATTTTCACTTATCTGTTTATGATGCTCTTTATGAATTTCCCCCACTAGAATATAAGCTCTAGGAGGGCAGGGCATTTTGTCTGTTTGATTCCCATTGCCTATCATTTGGTGCATGCCTAGTAAGTATTTGAATGAACAAATTAATACAGAAATTTGTGCAATGGTCAAGGGTAGCCTGTGGCAGAGTGGGGAAAAGTACCCCTTAATGAGTAGGATATTAGGAATGATGGGAGGACTGGCTGGAATAAGATAATCTAGGGGGAAAAAAACCCCAAAAAACCATCAATGAACAGAGAACTATCTTCTCTGCCTTCTTTGTTCAGCATTGGTCAATGTATTGGCTTTATGGGGTATTCTTTGGCTTATGCAAATGGAATAGAAGACTTGGATTGAGTAATACCTGCTTAGGAGAGATTTATCCAAGGAAGGAGAGCACTCCTTAACATGTGTATGGATGGGTTTTTGCATAGCCTTTAGAACACAGACTGACATTTCTCACCATTCCCGATTTCTCTTATTGGTCATAAGCAAGGATTACTTTCCCACTCCAACAGTTAATCTGAGGCCATGTGACAAATTTCTTGCCAAGAAATAAAAGAATTGACATGTGTCACTTGCAGGCCTGGCCACAGAACTTGTCAAGTAAATAATCAATGTTCTGTCTTCTCCTCACTCAGAAACCATAAAGGTCCCATCTTGAAAATAATGATGCCCCAATATCGAAGAAGCATACATCCTTGATACTTAGAGGAGAGCTGTCTGACCTTTATAAATCATTGTGTCTATCAGAAACAAACTCTTACTGTGCTAAGCCATTGAGGGATAGAAGTTGTTTGGTGTAGCAGCTAGTACTAATTATCCTGATTAATATACTCACAAAACACTATTGTGAAATTTATAATGCAAAAGTTTTAGTATAAAATGTCTATACACTAAATGCTACTAAAGAGCAACCTTCCCAAAAAGAATCATTTGATTTTATATACAAATATAAACTTGTTACTGATACATGGAGTCATACCATAGAAATGCTATAACCTATGCATGTGAGATAAAATATCAATATCCTTAGGGATAATCTGCACAGTGATATACAAAATAAATTTCCTTGCATTATAACTAAAATGTGTTTGGATCAAACACTTGGGGAAACACGTGAACCAAAATTTCCTTTACAATATGACGACTTCTAAAATGTATCCACTAATAACACATAATCCATTATCCCTTTTTGGAATGCAGGCAAATGTGAAAAGATAGGAAGTTACTTGTTTTTTAGAAAACTAAGCAACATATTGATCATGATTTAACTAGGTGGTAATTTTCTTTAACCAGACATTCTAAAGAAGCTTGCAAAAAAAGTGTTCTAGGAAGACAGCTCTCTGTTTTGTCAATTTATACAGTAAATCTTCCACATAGTCTAAATACAATGTTTAAACAATTCAGAAAATCCACACAAAAACAGGTACCTGAATTTTTTTTCTCTTTCCATGACACTAATATTAGGAAAATTACACAAATTATTAATTAGGAGGTTTATAGCTAGCATAGCAGTGAGAGTAATCCTTTTTTATTTAGAGGGAGTGTGATCAACATTATAGGCTGCTTTTAGTACTCAACTCATCTTCAGAACATCTGAGGCAAAAAGGCAGTGGTGAGCATATTTGCTCACAACAGGATATCCATCTATAGAGAATCAAAATCTCAATTGTACCCTTACCCTCATATTCCACAGAAACACTTTCCAATGAAAACAAAGTAAGCAGGGAAGACAAGTAAACCTGAAAGTGTTTAGAACAAGTTATGTTTGCTTTAAAGTCTTCTTAACGTTCTAAGATGACAAAAGAAAGCACACAAATGGTAGCCAGACACAGACGTCCCTCCCCCCGACCAAAAACTAATAAAGAACAAATACTTATTTTTCAGCTAAGCCTCATTCTGTCCTATAATGATAAGCCTAAGAGGCTGAGATGAGTGCTAAGGACTTGGTCATAGCTTGTCAAAGCCAAGTGCCTATTAGAATCACACGTGGAGCTTTAAAAAATACCCACAACTGCTTTTCAGCTCAGAGCAATTAAACCAGAATCTCTGGGATATATTTTAAGAACACCCCAGATGGTTTTAATGCTCAGCTCAGCTAGAATCATCCTTTTGGTGTGTAGTGGAGCTCTGTCAAGGTAAAGTTTGTGTGTTTGTAGGAGATAGTGCTGAGAAGAGTGAAGAAATTTACCTTTGGGTCCAACATTATACTAGGCACTTTAAACATATTATCTTCTAGATTCATTAGAATAAATCTTCAGGATAAACATATTTAGTCCTATTTTTAAATACAGTAATACTTTGGTTTGCGAGCATAATTTGTTCTGGAAACCAACTACTCGTATTCCAAGACATCGCTTGTCTACCACGTTAAAATGTATTAGAAATGTTTGCTCATCTTGTGGAACACTCACAAACCAAGTTACTTGCAATCCAAGGTGTTACCATATATGAAAATTAAATTGAATATATGGGAAATAGATCCTGCTCTGTAGAGTTCATGAACTACTCATTATTGAACAAGGACATCTAATAAGATTAATTCCTGACACTAGGAGTGTTTAAACAAATACTCAAAGATGGATGCTATACCTAAATAGACGAAAATAGTTCAGCAAGCTATGGACCATTGAGCAAATTCAGCCACTGCCTGGTTTGTGAATAAAGTTCTATTGGCAACCATTCACACCCATTCGCTACTTTTTTCATTGCTGCACAGATGCTACAATGGCAGTGGTAAGTAGTTGTAACAGGACTGTATGGCCTGCTAAAGCCAAAAATGTTTATTATCTGGTTTTTCATTAAAAGTTTGCTGACCCATTAACTAGGTGATCTGCAACATGCTTTTAGCCCGGGAATTCTCAAAACTAAAAAATTACTAAATTCCAAATCACTTCACACTTCTTCTTTTTGAAAAGCAAAATAACATCTATTATAGTTAAATTTAATAACAGAAATGCTCCAAAAACATGGCAAGTGCACATGCTACTTAGGTTTTTTTTCCTAATCTTAAAAAGGAAGAGTCACTAAAAAGCGTTAATGGAAAATGCCAGAATGGCAGAAAAAAACCAACACTGAAAAGTGGTATGGCATATATTTCTTGGGGCTTGATAAGATGGAAATAATTCCAGATTTTTTAAAAAGAGGGTGTTTTATTTAAACAAGACCATGTTGATAGGTTTTCTGCCTTGTTATATAACAAGGCAGTGCCTAATCTACCATAGTGACTTTACCCCAAATAGATGATTGCAGATAGCACATCTCTTCAGTGAGGAGATGAGAGAAGGAATGAGACCTACCATCCATCATCCCTTCCCTTCGATGAGGCAAAGCTGGCTGTTGGTCCATTCGCCCTCCCTTGTGTTTTTTCGTGGGCCTGGGCCTCTGGCTTTGACTCAGGGCTGCACTGGTATTACTGTCAGTAGAAAATGGGCTGGTTGGTCGAGGTCTTTGAGAGGAGGTAAAGGCTTTGCCTAAAAAGACAACAAAGGGGTATAGAGAACGTGATTATGAGACACTGATTCTGTCTGTTTTGTATTTCTGCTCTTCCTAATACTAACTTCTAAACCTGCCTAGAGATGCCATTTGAAGGTAGCAAATACTGATGCATCTCCACAGAAAAATATGCCCTGTGGCATTGATTTTGTCCAGTTATTAATACCCAACACTCTACCCACTGAAACAATTCAAACACATGAATATAAAACAAATCTACCCACCCCAAACTTGATATTATGTGGTTATATTTTAATTTAACCTTGATAATCATAGTGATACTTTCATAGAAATATGCAAATTCATGCAGCTTTTACTTCTTCAAATTAAACAAGCTATTTCTGAAATTAGGTCCTGTCTTATTTGTTTAATCAAATATCACCCTTGGAATACTACAAACTCTCTTTCAGTACAGAAAAAAATGTCCTGTAGTAATTGCATTTGAAATTTTACATGAAAGGTCTGCTCAGACACATTCATTAAATTGACCTTGCCACCCATACACACACACGGTGAATTCTATCTCTTTCAGCAGAAACTCAATAACATTAGTATATAGTCTAGGATAGATAGCAGGTTAAAACCCCTTGTATATCCAAAGTGCAATAGGTAATTTCTGATGAATAATATTGTATCTGAGCAGACTCAACATTCTCACTGAAAAATGAAATGTGCTATGTTTTTGTGTCATAGTGTACATATGCAGGGAAATTTACTCTGGGAAAAGGTTAGTGAATAAATTTTCAATATCTTATAATTTTAACATCATGTTTATTATGGCATGAGAGGGCTGGTTTAAGTGCATGTCTATATATTCTCTTGTGTATGTTTTCATTTCATACAAGATGACTATATGTAGTTACATTTCCTTAAGTCAGTGTGACATGATATTACTTAATGTTTTATTAGCTATTAGAATACATGCAAGAAATGCACTTATGCCTTCTAATTTATTAGTTTCCTTACACCTTCTCACTGCTCTGCTTATAGCTATGCCACCAAAAGCACTCAGGCAACATAAAGTTTCTGACTTAATGACTTATAAAGCAAGGAAATTCAAATAACCCTTATATTACAACATATTTTAGTTCAGATGCCATATGAAAAACAAACCTCTGCAATGCTTTGGAAATCTTTTTTATTTCATTTGAAGATACCTAATGCATCCTCAGAGGAAATACTGATGATATATTTCAAAGAAAATTTCCAAGACTCATCTTTATAACCTGAGTTTAGTTAAGGGTCAAAATCGTTTTTCTTTACTATCTGGATACTATTAAGATTTCAAAAATGCATTTAGAATTTTGTTAGTTTTTTTTTTCTTGTGAGGTAGCTCAGTTTAATTCATGTTAGAATCTTCTTATATATGCATTTAAGCAATATACATAGTCATATAATAACACGCATCATGCCAAAGTTATTTCGTTTCAGTAAAACAAATGATTACAAATTACCGATCTATTATTAGATCTACCCATATTTATTTTTTGGGGAATGATCAGATGCATGAAAAATAACATAATAGGTCTTTTATATTATTCCTTATTATACTCAGAAGCCAAAATTAGATTATGCTAAAGAGCAGCACACACATAATCATCATTTTTTTCAACTTGCGAATGCAGTGGTGTATTTTTATTAGCATCCTTTAACAAATAATAAATTATTGGATTAAAATCTTAACAGCCAAAAATTAACAATACAATCAGCCATTTGAACTGTTAGACTGACAGCGTCAGACCCATTCACCCCATGCTGAGAAAGCCTTCCCAGAAAATGCATTTGCAGAAAGAAATGGAGATAAAAGCTGAATAATTTTAATTACTGGGCACATTATTGATTATGTGAGAATTTTGCAAAGTGTGAGTTATTGAAAATTTAATGGCAATCTTAGTTGCAACTTTGCTGTAATATAAAAAGGAAGCATATTCCAATTAATCAGCAGAACCGTGAAGGCAAAAGGAAATAAAGGACAGACAGTGGTGAGTAGGAGCTTATTCTTGTCTCTGCAAAACTATCATCACAGGAGAGTTCTGGTAATCGAGCATCCCAATTGTGTTCATGCATACTAAAGAAATCCCTGCAATCAGACTCACTGAGGAGAAAGGACAGGAGAAAAATAGCTCAGTGTCCAAAGGGTTCTCTCATGCAAAGAGTGTTGACTCAGAGTCTACCAACCTGTTCTTGCAAGGCTGGTTCCATCCAGCCTAAAACCAGCTTTATCTGCTGCTGCCACCAGTGCTTGTGCAAAACTGCCGCTGGCAAAGATGGAGCCATCTGAGGAGCTACCTACACTAGATCTATGACTAGAAAAGTTACGATCCTCATCAGATGCAGAGCCCCATCCATTTACCATTGAACCTAAAAACAAATGTAGTTGTCTAGTAAGTTGTATATATTGGAGAGCTCATCTGTTTGCACACACTCTACTAATGAACAAGTAGGCTGCTCTAACTCCTCAGGCTTCCTCATGGTAAACCAGGTTTCAGCGTGACTTCTTTACCATATGCAAGCATCATCCATGTTTTAAACATCCATAGTGCTGAAGAATGAAGCTCATTTAAAACCTGCATCTGTTTGCAACACGTGAGCAAAATATATTCCATATGGTTCCGTTCTTACATTGTTAAAATTATTACATGATCATTTTCCAAAAGAGAATTGCTATGTACAAGTCCCGCAATTCAGAAAAGAACACTTTTAATGAGCTAAATTATTGTGTATTTAAACTAAACCTTTCAAGGACTCAGTTGAATACATTTTGTGAATGTATTTTGAATTTAATGCAGACTCGAATGATATTTTGCATGAAATCTACACTTGTACACTGTAAAGGGGGTAGAATTATTTCAAGATTTTAAAATAAAAATTTAATTAGGAAGTAACAGCAAACATAAACTAAAAATGTATAAATAATATCACAACAAATAGACTTAGGATATAAGAAAAATGTATGTTTGAAAAGTTCTCTTAATTTCAAAGTTCAATATGCTTTCTTTGCTTTTTAATTAAGAGTGTCTGCTTTCTTTTTAATGCAAATCTTTATTTTAGAAAATCAACCAGTATAAAGAATATCACTGGCCTTAGTATGGATTTCTCTGCAAAATGCAACTTAGCAATAGAGGAAAATAATTCAGCTTTATGTGTAAAGAGCTGCAAAATATGAAGATATGGAGAAATAACTTTCATTCTTAAATTTTCATCAAGTCATTTACAATTTTATACATTTTCTTAGACCAAGCACACTGAGACCTTAATCTACACATAATACAATTAATATTACAATATTCAAGTTGATGTACAATTAATTTATAATGCAATAAAGTACCAAATGTTGCTTATTCTAAATTTTTAAAATGAGAGACAATAAATTATCTATGAAAAGATAATATTTTTAAATAAACCAAACACATATTTACATAAAAGAAATGAGTAGAGAGCCATAGACTTTTCTGCTTTTCTCCAATAGTTAAGAGACAAAAGTAAAGTTAGAGGAGTGTTGCCATGATGAAGTATTTGTACTTTTAGTCAAGGTGCCAGGATACAATAACATGGGTTCATGCACTTTCAATACAGAAGACAGAAACCCAAGGGGTTAGGAGGATCTGAGAACTTAAAAGGGTGTTAAGTGTAGCAGAGAAAGACAGAGTTTTGATTCTATTTGCCAAAAGCACAGAAATACACGTTTTACTTTCAAAACAAATTCCCTTGACACAAGCCACTGAAAGGAAGCCAAGATAACACCAGCAACTGAGCCTTCTCTGAGAGAGCCATTTCTGAGTTAATAATCACAAGTCAAGGACCAACAGCCCAAAAGGAAAGGAGAAATGATGCAATAGGCTTTGCAATATAATGTTACAGTAGATAAGAAAAAATATCAAAGTGATTCAGTCCATAGTCACAAAAGAAAGAATATGAAGCTCTAGAACTGAGGATAGTTTTGAAACATGTGACAGCTCAGTCCCGGTCCCTCCTATGCACTGTTTTCTGTATTTCTGAATGTCTGCTGAACATCTGCGAACACATCTGTGTCAGCTATTTGAAACTCACTCTCCAAACAAGCATCTCCTTTTCTACAGCTCCAGTTTCATGCCTAAGCTCTTCCTGATTTCCTTTAGTCCCTCCCGTCTTTCTCATTGTCAGCTGAATTAATTTTCTGAAACATTTGTCACATAATACTGTTCCTCTAGTCAAAGCCTTACCTAGTTTACCAATGTCACATCCAAACGCCGAATTAGGTATTTGAGATCCTTCAATATCTAGCCCAGCCTACCTTTATGCCCCATTTGTTCTCATGGATTCTGCAGTCCCACCTACATAACATTACCCACTGGATTGTTACTAATTCTATTAACCACTGCCAAACTTTAAAGTCCAAATCAATATCTTCTCTTTAATCATCTGGATTTCACCTTACCTTCAATCCTGTCTAAGGTGAATCAATCTCTCTACCTCCTGTGTTTTTCAAACACTATGCATAGAGTAGCATATCAGGTCTCTACAAACCACAGTTTGTTGTATATATGTTTCCTCTTCAAGACAGTGAAACTCTGGACATTAGGAACTATCTCTTATTCATTTTCATATCTCTTGAAGGGGAACATTGCACAGTAGAAATTTCAAGAAACATTAGGCACATTAAATTAAATGTCTTCATTATTCACTGTAAATTCTATATGTGATTCTATTCCAAGTGTAATTTCCTAGCAATGACCTTATTTTAGTTACAGAAAGACTGTGCTCATGAGGACTCCTAGAAGATTTATTAAATAAGAAGTATATTCTACACATAAAATTGTTACAATGTTAGTCAACTCTTGATTACTTGGATGGAGAACACAGTAATATAATTACCCCCCCAAAAAAACAAAAAAAATAATTTATATATATCTTGGCTATGCTTTGATAGCTTGAATATTGATATTTGTCAATGTCTTATTCAAATGTAGGCAATGATGCTATATTAAGTGGCGACTTACTTTTTTCTGACTTCCTCATCCACACTCACCCACCTTAATGTACTAAGCCCTCTCCTCCCTTTTTAAAAACTCTCTTCTTCACTATAACCAAGAAATAGTTGAGTCTTAGTTTTAGTTGAGAAATAGTTTTGTTGTTGTTGTTGTTGGCTTGCTGTGTGGTTCTATCCTGAGGATCTAGCATTTTGACAAATTTAGTCTCTGAACCTATAAAACTTAGGAAAACTCCTACACCACAGCAGTGTCACTAAAGAAATGCCATTGTGTGAGATCTCTTTTAATAGAGTTAGTTTGACTTTTTTCAGAAACACCCTGTTGGTCTCCCTATGATAACAAATCCCTCATATGAGGATTTCCGTGCACAAATTTGTCAACCCTTAAAATCAACTACTTTCCTGCTTTGGGTCTTTGCTCTGAATTTATCTGTTAATGCTCTTTGCCAGGCACTCAGTTTCTCTGATGTTTTTTTTTCCCTTCCTGGGAAGGAAGAGTAGCATGGAAGACATGGCTTCAAGTGTGTGCTTATCAATACAGCAAGAACACCAGCTATTCTTTATTATTAGTAGTAGTACTACTACAAGTAGTAGTATTGTTATTATTATTGTTAAATGTAATGGGGTGACATTGGTTAATCAAATTATATAGGTTGCAAGTGTACAATTCTATAATACATTATCTGGATACAGCTATTCTTGCTTTCCACTCTCTGTAAGAGCCAAGAAACTAAGTAGGTGACTTCAGAGTTGAACTGATAAGTGCTGTGGAGATCTGGCCATGATGTGCAAGAGGAAACCTCATCATTCCAAGCTAAAGAGGGCGAGTGCCCTCAGGTTATTCTAGTTGAGTTCTCTTCAAAATGGAAGGCAAGAAGGAAACAAATAAAAAAGAAAGGAATATATTTTCTTTCCCTCTTAGTCCGTTTTTCTTTGTCTTCAACAGCCCCTCCCATATGGTGCATAGAATGGGTCCATTTGTGGGGAAGATTTGTAAAGAAAATATATACCATGAATATACCATGAATAAAAAAGTACAAAACACATGTTAAAAATATACCATGAATAAAATATACCATGAATAAAAAATATACCATGAATAAAAAAGTACAAAACACATGTTAAATGTCCTCCATGCTGTAAATTGTTAAAATGTATTTAACATTTACTGAGTCCACCTCTCTGTGATCACCATTCTTTCTCATTCTTTAGATTTAAACCTCAAGAATGATTGGGAGATTTATGTAAACTAGCACACACACACACAGAAAAAGGAATGGAAGTAAAAAAACATTGATTCATGAATTAGAAAGTAAGCATTTTTTGTGTGATAATTGCTTTGGTTTTATAAATGGACATATAAACATGAAAATGAAAGTGAACTCTAGGTAAACCAGCTCACAGAGAGACTGCTTACAAATTACAAGCAATCCATATCAAATTGACATGTTATAGCCCCAAACATAATCAATACCTATTTAAACATTTAATGAAAAATAAATTTATGTCACATAGCCAAATTTATTTGTGTTTACATTTTCAATCTTTCCAAATTCCTCAGGTTTAAAATTGCTTAAAGGCAAAAAAAAAAAATCTCAAATTTATTCAAGCTGTTAAAGAACTACATATAGCACATTAAGTTGTTGCTCAAATGTTACTGAGCAGTAAAATACCGTGATGAAGTGGCATCTTGCTGTGTCTCTATTACATCCTCAGCACTAAAATTAATTTACGATCAGTCATCAATTCATTTACATGCCGTTTTTATGCTAAATCCTTCCTTGCTGATAAATGCTTATCCTTAGATCCATTAAGCCAGAGTAAAGTCTGTGCTTTATAATATGACCCTGCTAATTGTTGCATTACCATTTTTATGAGATACAAAAACTGGCTGTCCCCCATTTTTTTCAGCCAATATTTATTCCAGAAACTCTTCCTATTAAGTGCAATCTGTCTAACTGTCTGTTAAATACCATCTTCAGCTGTGTTTTCGGACAAATCAATCCAAATAATGACCTCTGCCTATCTGTAGAAAACCATGTCTCATCTTTAGAAGTCCTTCTTTCACTCAAACATATTGAATATACAACAAGTCCACGTACATTCCTCAGAAATATATGTGTAATATATATGAAAAGCAAAATAAGCAATTAAAAAGTATCTTCCTTAGGACACTGGACACCTGTTAGCTTGTTCCACTAAGATAAAAATTGAATATATGACATTCTGTTTTTATCTGTTACATTTTGAAGTTTATATTTCATTTCTTTTAGGATACATCAAAGCTGTTGGGGTCGCCTAAGCAAATGACAATTATTTGGAAGATTATCTCTAAAATTTCCCTAATATTAAAATCTTTCCCATGCATTTTTGCAACAAAAGTAACGTGTCAGGTCACACTTTTAAGTGGCCAATTCTCTAAAAGCTGTGTGGTCGAGTACGATGGTGAAGCTGCCAGGTTTTACTGTTTTCAAAATGATCTGATTTGGGAGTTCCAGTAAAAACCTCCAAAGACATAAAATACAGAAAATATAGAGGCACAATTTCCTTTCAGCTGTGGTATTTATGTGGGGTCCGGCAGTCAAGGAAACTGCGTTTTCCATTTCACTTCACAGCACTCACTCTCAGTCTTACTTTTTGTGATCGCTGAAGCGGTTCGGATCTTGGCTCCATGCTTGGGACATTTCCCTCCTGCTTTCTCTCCCATCGCCTTCTGTTTCTTTTTTCCTGCGGTGAAGTCATTAAATTCAGGAAACACTTACACTTGACTCCCACCATGGAAGTTATAGAAAGCAGTGTTGAAGGCTTCCCCATCCTGTTACCCAAAAATGTGGGTTTGGCGGTTAGGAAGAAATATTACAAGCATGTTCCTGAAGAGTGAAACAATCCTGTATGTTTACTTTCTAGCCAAAAACAGAGTGTGAGATGCTGTGATCAAAAAACATTTTTATACATTATCGCAACCAAATACATTTAAATAAGTATAGGTTAAAATAAAAATTATAAAACTGAGGTTTCCTGCAGAAAGTGCTGACAGAGTTGAATTTTGTTAGCACAAGTCACTACAGTTGAATATAGACCTAAATATGAGAAAAGTAAATAATAAAAGTTACATCTAAAAATTAATGTTTTTGATCCTGATTAAGTACATGAGGGTAAGGACTAATGTTTTCAGAGATAAATTATATGCTGCATTTGTATAAATACATACTACTTATTCATACAGGGGGAGAGAGACAGAGGAGAAAGAGAGAGAGAGAAGAGAAGGAGAGAGAGAGAGAGAGAGAGAGAGAGAGAGAGAGAGAGATCCACATGTTAAGTAATAGGCCAGGAAATAATTTTCCTCTTAAATATGTTATACCCAGAGAATAGAAAAAGGTTGGGCATCTCCAGAGCAGAGATTATGATCATTTATCTTTAAAGTAAGACTGATTTTGAACATTCTTCTGTCATTTATCAGGTATGTGACCTTGAAAAAGGCTTAAAATCCCTCTGTGACTCAATTCTTTATCTATATAAAGAGAATAAAATGATTGTGATGATTAAATGAGTTAATATATGTCAAAACCTTAGGACAGGGATCAGCAAATTATTTTGATCAGCTACTAAATATTTTAGGCATTGTGTTCTCTGTCATATATTCTTTTTAGTTTCTCTTCGTTTCTTGTTTTCTTAGAACCCTTTAAAAATGTAAAAAAAAAATTCTTAGCTCGCTAAGCCACAAAAAAACAAAACAGACCATCTCTTATAAGAGTGCCTTGCGCTTACTAAGGGTTATCTATGTGCAAGTTAATATTATTATTATTATTATTATTATTATTATTATTATTATTATTATTAAATCTAAATTCCTAGCCAAGTGGTTGAAAGAATGAGGACTTCCATAAATGTGTGTTGTGGAAATACATAAATAGTATAACAGATTTGCTAATACATTTTCCATTACTGAGTTTTATGCACTGAATGTTGCTTTCCCATGAAAATCCATATGTTTAAACCCTAAACCCTAATGTTATGGTATTTGGAGGGGAGGCTTTTGGAAGTAATTAGGCTTAAATGATGTCATGGCAGTGAGGTGACCATGATGGGATTAGTGACCTTATAAGAAGAGACCAGAGGGCGTGCTATGTGAGGACACAGGGAGAAGATGGCGGTCTGCAAGCCAGGAAGAAAGTTCTCACCAGGAGCCCAATCTGCCAGCACCTTGATCTCGGACTTCCCAGCATCCAGCACTATGAGAAATAAATGGCTGCTGTTTAAGCCTCCCAGTCTATGGTATTTTGTTATGGAAGCCCAACCAGACAGAGACACTGAGTTCATGAGATAAGAAACTATAGATATTGTCTTCTCTGCTGGGCCTTTTCCACTCATAAACCATTGTCAAAATTTAAGAAGTCTCTCAGAAATTACTTAGTTGTTACAAAAATATTTGGAATTAATATACTTATTTCTTTACAAATAGGGGTTTTATACCTTGTTAACTGTCAATATTCCTGAATGTCACAGCTGTTGGAATATAATATATCCAAGTAAAATCCTGAATCATTTTATATACAGGAGTTTAGCCCATCTCTATGTTATAAACGGAGTATCATTCTCATTGGCTTTAGAATTTCAGGAAATGAAACATCACTGTTAGTTCTATTTAATAAAAGTGGTCATTAGTTTCATGAAAATGAAAATCTCTATCAGAGAATTCAGGTGAAAGTAATAGCTAATTTACTCACACTACAAATTTAAAATTCAGTGTAATTTATGGTAAGATCAGAATCCTCTCTGTGGACATTTTATTGGTTACCAGAGGGTAAGAGGGTACGGGGGTGTTATGAGAGGGTAAAGGGGATCAAAAATATGGTGATGGAAGGAGAGCTGACTCTGGGTGGTGAACACACAATGTGATGTATAGATGGTGTATTACAGAATTGTACACCTGAACTTTACTAACCATTGTCACCCCTATAAATTGAATTAAAACATAAAAATAGAAATAGTGTGTTTTATCGCCCACCTCATTTAGCACCATTACACTAGCCTTAAATGTCTGAAGAAAACATAAGCACATTAGAATGATATTAGCATTTTGATGTCTATAACATTTGGTCCTTACATACAGTCACCTCAGGGCCATCCCCATGTGCACGCATGTATACAAACACACACACACACACACACACGTACATTCACAACCCTGTTTACACGCAGATAAACACACCTACATAAACTCATACACACACACTTTACATATAATCACAAAACCTATCTATACTCTCACACATGTATCTTTATACAGGCACACTCTACACATGCATACTTTTTTGGACAAAATATATTTACTTTTATTTATAGCTTATATTATGCTTGTACCCTGGAAAGCAAATTAAATCTTTGATCATACTGTCCCCAAAAAGTGATGGTAGAGCCAAAAAAAGAATAAAAAGGAAAAAAAGAGAGTTTCCTATTTGGCTACTTTTGTGTACAGTACAATTTATTTTTCTAAAGAGATGTATTATTCCTAGAACAAATTCATCAAGGAATACATACCTAAATACCCTGAAGCTTTTATATATGGCAGTAATTAAGCAGTAGGAAAGTAGACTGTTTTCAAGTAGGAATAATAGACTGTTTTCTTAGCAATACGAGCTTCATTAGGAATGAACAGTATACTAGCTATAAGGAGAAATGCAAATTGTTTTTAACAGCAATCACATTAGACGGCCGAACATATTACTAACAGGTGAGCATGTAACAGTGAAAATGGCATCCTCCTGATTTATAGATATATTTATCATCTTTGACATTATAATATCTAATAAAATAACTACCTCGGCTACAGCTGACTTTTCAAATTATTGTAATTCTCTACTGCATTCCTAATGGAAAAGAGTTCAGTATCATTAGTGAGATATGCAAAAATATGCAGAATTTTACCCTGAAGGAGATTATGCTAGGAATTCAGGCAAAGGGGCTTAACACGATAGTGCATTAAGTGAACTCTCTGCATTCCAAGATTTCAATTTTTACTCTGCCATGTTTAGTTGGATCTGGACTTCAATTCACAGCGGTGTATCTGCAGTATATCTGCAGTTCTTAAATCTTAATTAGCTTGGCAAGCAGACGGCCCCCAGGTAAGAATAAAACCTGAAAAGAGGGCTCATGCATCACACATCGTGTAATTCAGGAAGGGATGTAGAGGGAAAATATACGTACTCATGCTTCTCTATCACTGTCATAAAGCAGTTTTTTGAATTCTAACACATTGCAAAATTTGTACGAGTTGGGAAGCTATTGGTGTAAAACTTAATGATATGGGACTGTGATAAAATGCCTCCTAGGGTGAAAGATATCATCAAGGTAAATATAGAAATGGGTAATTTTCTGAGGTGACCCAATGACATGCAGAGGCAAGACTTACATTTTTAGTAGTTATGCCTTTATAGTCATCTAAGAGGCATGTGTGTGTGTGTGTGTGTGTGTGTGTGTGTGTAAGAATGGCTACATACTTGAATAGAAAGGCTGAAATTTTACTTTTCTGCAATGTTCATTGTGTATACATTGACATTTAAGTTCTTCCAACAAAATGTGATAATTTTGAATTATTGGAAATAGGTTACAGTCCTGGGGTCATCCTAGGAGAGTACCAATTACAGCCTTTCACTTGGTAGGTAAACTGGGCAAGAGGAAGCCAAAGGAATAAACAACAAAATACCTGCACTTCTTGGGAGAGAAGCCATTATTGGATCCAAAAATATGAGATGCATAAATGCGTGCTTTATGTCATTATACATTTTCTCCACCCTAATAGTACCTTATGTGACCTTAGAGAAACGTATTCTGAAGACTTGCTTATTTTCATCAGTGAATGACTATATGGAGTGAACTATCAAGAAGCATATTAAGATTGCATTCACTTCGCATGTTGCTCCTGTTACACCAAATATATTATTTCTAAAAGTCAAGGTTTTTATATAATCGACTTGGTTTCCCAGTAGAGTGAACTTCTCATGAAAGCCCTGGGTATAATTGAGTTTCCTTTCATGTCGTTAAAGCTTTTTAAAATTCATGAATTTTCTTATCATTTTTGCAGCAATGCAAAAGAATTTCCAAATCCTTTTTGAATTTTGTGTTTAATATTAACCAATTTAAAATGCACAGAAATAGATGGAGTGGAATAACTCTTACATAAGAAACGCTTTGATTATTGATGCATTTTCATGTCACAAATAGGTTAGTTACCTACTAAGTCAGTTCCGTTACCTGTCACCGAGCTGTCTAGATTGTCCATACTGGATCCGGGTGTCTGCTCTAGCGCTCTCAGGGGCCTGGGGATTTCTAAAGCATCCTCCTCATCATCAGCGTCATCATCTGGAACGTCTGTTTCCAAATCAGAAATCAAGGCTCCGGACATGTAACCTAATGGTGGAACTGGGGGCTGTGGAGGTTGATTATTGCTTTGAATGTGCCTAGAATTTAAACGGGGAAAAAGAATGAATTTGTCAACATTCCACCAAATTGTCATTAGAGTGAATCAGCATGCATGCTCTGGTCACTAATTTTGTCTTGTTGTTTCCCATGAGCCAAGTTTGGAGCTCACAGTCCTTTCTTAGAGTTCAGCAGAGGCAATGGGCTATGTATATGTGACTTGTCCAAACAACGATATAGAGACTATCACACTCTTCCATCGGTATTTATGGGATGATTCACAGAGAAAAAAAAAACCAAAAAAAAAAAACCCAGACTCAGCATTTTTTGTATAAATAAATCTTCCAAAGGAGAATAGGCATATTTGTCACAAATAACTGATTAAAGCTGATTGTGTTTTTTGCCCAAATAATTTTGTTCCCAGTTTAGCATCATTCTACTCAGCCTGTGTATCTCTGTGTAACCCTGTGTGACCCGCTGGAATGAAGAGAAGATGTCATTGGAAGGCCTAATGCAATCCTCCCTGCCCAGCCATGAGCCCATTCCTTGCCTTACAAGGCTTCCTTCCTGCACCATCCTCCAGGAACCAGACTACTACTTTAACCCCTTTTAGGGCAGACATGGCTACTTTGTGTTCAAACTACTTATTTGTCCATCTGTCTCACCCACCAAAGTCTTAAATACCAGGAAGGCAGACAAGGTTCATCTGAACATTCTGCTTACAACATTAGGTAGGCTAAATAAACTTTCTATGAATGAATAACTTTAATCTCAACCTTGTAAAGAGGGTAGAACTATCACCTCTTCTAGAATTTGTTAAAGTGAAGTTCAATTTACGTGGCTTGTTTCCTATCACCTGGCTTGTAATATGTAGAGTGGGACACTGGGGTCCAGTTGGTTCACTTGGTGACTACTGAAGAGTTTCTTTTAAACTATAAAATGCTAAAGGAAAGCAAGCATTGTTACTTGCTGCTGTCATGAAAGAGTGAATATACCATGTTTTGACATGTTGTCTTTTCTTTTTTTGCTTTGATACAAAGAAGTTAAAAGACCTCTGCTATTTAAGGGAGATGGAAAACAAGTGCTAAGCATTTTTATTTATTTATTTTTAAAGATACAAGATTATTTTTCTGGAATATTTGCATTTTCTGGAAAAATATTTCATTCACCTAGAATTTAATATTCCTCTCATAATCTCATTCTTGAACTTGTAACCAAATGCAATACTAACAACATTCTAGACCTTTCAACATTTAAAACAAAACAAAACAACAACAAAAAACCCCAATATGTCAGCTCTGGAAGCTACCTCAATAGCATCAGGCCCATATCTTTAACAGATAAGGAATTTGAGGTCCCAAGTTATTATTTAGCATTCATCACAGCTCATTCTTTGAAAAGTCAGGAGGTTTCCTATTATTACAAACGTCCTGAGTGCTGATGACCACATCTTGCTCTGTTTCTTCCGATTCTGTTTGTGAATCGGGGATGGAGTAAGCCAAGTCATATGCAAGACAATAGAAGGTGATATTTACCTACATGATTCATTCTCCTCTAATGGCGGGCACTTTGGTCCTGGGAAAGACCAAACAGACCAACACGCTAGCCCTACATCACTGCTGATACCTCTTGATGAAACAAAGATATATTACATCATGCAAAATGTACTCTTTGAGTTCATTAGAGTTAGAAATAACATGTAATCCAGGACGGGGATGTGTAACATTTATAAATATCTCCTAGTGACAAGCACTGTGCTGTGTGCCTCCTGGGTCACTATGAACAGAGTCCCTGGAGCTGAAGCCTGGGAATTATTTTGTAAATGCTTCTCCTGTGATGTCCATATGCAGCCCATATGGCGAGGCCTTTCCATTCCAGAAGGGCCAGGTCCTGTGTGAGCACACGGAGTCTCATAATCCCCACATGGGGAGGCAGCAGTGACAAGCAGGGGGATTGCTGATCTGAAGAGAAACATACTGAGAAAAGGAAGCAGGGTCTGCTCTGTGGGTACGTGGTAGGCGGAGACAAACTAGGTTGTTCACTCCATTTATTAATAGCAAATATCTATGGAGTACTCTCTAATTGGGCACCCTTCTGAGAGTGGAAAGATAGCAGTGAACAATACAGGTCAAAACCCAAGCCCTTCTGAATAATAGCAGCTATAATATAGCCAGATACTGTATTTACTAAGTACTGTGCTAGTGCAAACTCACTTAATTCTTACAAAAACTGTGATGTATATTAATAAACTTGACCTTGCCTAAAGAGAAGTTGGGCCTTTGCCCTGTGCCCCTGCAAGGAAATCTCTAAGCTCTAGAATGCCCCATCTGATAAAAGTGTCTGTTTACTTGGAGGCCTTAGGTTCCTGCAGAAAGTCAAACAATGTGACTTGTGGTTGGAGCTTTGAATCACAGGGTATCAGCCTGCCTTCTGGAGCGGCTGGAGACCAAGGTCAGCCACGCAGATAGTCAGCTATATGGATGTGACAGAGCCCCAGTAAAGGCTCTGAACCTCAAGGCTCACGTGCGTGTCCCGGGTTGGCAATACTCCGTGCGTATCACCACTCATCGTTTCGGGGAAAGTAATGCTGGGAGAGGACAACTGGAAGCTCTGCCTCTGGAACTTTCTTAGACTCTGTCCCATGTATCTCTTCTCTTGGCTGATGTTAATCTGTATCTTTTCACTATAATAAACTGCAACTTTGAGTGTCGCAGCTTTCAGTGAGTTCTGTGGCTCTTTCTAGGGAATTCTCGACCCTGAGGGTATCTTTAGGGACTGCCCTCTCACTGTATATATGAGCTAATTACTATTATCATCATCGTTTTACAAATGGGGGACTGAAGCACAGAAATGTTAAGCAAGTTACCCATTGTTAAACAACTAGTTAGTAGTGGTGGTGGCAGTGGTCCCAACCTTGGCTGCCCCCTGCCTGTCAAATGTGAGGCCAAACATCAGAATCTCTGGGGATAGGGCGTAGGGATCAATAAACTTTAAGGCTTCCCAGGTGATTACAAAACACAGACAGACTGGAGAACCTTGAGCTAGAATCTGAGCTTTCAATGACTAAATATCACAGCTTCATTAGTTAACTTGAAAGAAGCCTGCTGGCTCTGCAAACAGCTTGAATTTAAATAGTGGTGTTTTTAGAAAGCAGCCTGATGCAAAATAATACTGTTTAACAGTAGATTGTCTTTGGCCATTGGGGGTGGGGGGAGGGTGGGAATCTGATAATTGAGGAAAACGTTCAAAAATCTCTAGTTCTGAGAAAAAAACCTGTTTGTAATAAGCTTTAAGTGGTATTCCTGGTTTCGGTATCTCTTTGCATATTTAGCTATATTTTTAAACTAAATAGTTCATCAAAACTATGAATAAGATTTATCTCATTATCCTCTTATCCCCGTAGTCAAAACTATCAAAAACAAGCAAATACTATTTCACAAAAATTTACTCTAACTTTGAGCACAGGGTATAAATCAACAGAAGATAACCAAAGGTAGGTCTTTGAGATTTCTTTTTCAAGAGTCAGATTTTTATGTTACTGTTTAAGAGAAGACAGAGCAAAGACATAAGGGAAAAAAAATGTTCAAAATTGTGATAGATGGTCCCACCTGTATTCCTGTCATATTTTCACAGGATATCTAAATAGATTTCCATCTGTATCTTATGAAAGTTTATAGATTGATTAGACAAAAAGGAATTTGGGATTTGTAATTCATTTTAGTCTTTTTTGAAATACATTTACTGTTATTAATATTGTGATTTTTTTCTGTCTCATCTAATTCAGCCCAAAGAAGGTCTTTTAATAACTGACACTAACCATAGTGATTTGCAGAAGCTTACATTTACATATTCACAACCACATACAGAATTAATTAGCGACACTTTAAAGAATCTAAAAGGAATATTTTATTATGGCATTGGAAGTGAGTTCAAGGATAAGCTAATTGAAGTTAAACTATAAATTAAAAAAGATTCTCATGGAGCCAAAAGTACTTTAGCCTGAAATTCAGCAGATCTAAATTCTTGCTCCGATTCACTCTAACTAGTTATGTGACTTCGGTCAAATTATTTAACATTTCTTCAGTCAATTTCCTTATCTAGATGATTAAAGAGTTGTACGAAATCATTTCTAACCCCAGCTGTGTAGCTCTGTGAGAATCTCTTATGAATTTGATATTAAAAAGCTTTTGCTCTCTCCATGTTGTGAAAGCATGGGTCCCCTAATGACAGTAGTTACCATGTTTGCTTTGTTATGTCAAACTGATAGGCCCGTGTCAACTCATCCAGGTGAGCTTGCAGCATGGGCTGCATCTCTTCCCGTGGGGATGGAGTAAGAGTTGCAGTGGACTGCTGTCCAAAGGAAATAGCGGGAGAAGAAGCCACTCCTCGGACAGGAGGTGTTGGGACACGGTCATCATCTTCTTCCAGTTCATCTTCCATGCCCTGGTGTAAGTATGTTTGTACTGGTAATGGCGGGCACCAGCTGTCACTGTCATAGCTGCAATGAAATGAGAAAAAGAAGCACATTGGCACATACACACATGCACATGCACAAGTATATAGACAATAATTAATAACCACAATAGTAACAGTAGTGTATGAAATAGTCCCTCAGTTTATTTCCTCCTGATTTCAAGTTTTTGGTGCTGCTATAGGAAATCACTTGGCTGTTATCTTAACTTCTCACCATAATTACATCTGTTATCTCAATATCTCAACTTATTCTTAAAGGATCTTATTACCTAATTGTAACCCCACAGTTACAAAAGGCAATAACTTCCGAACAAAGTTACTCTTGTGGAAAACCAAATTGCTAATTAAAGACCATTAATTTATTTAGTGCTTGTAGATTTCACAACTTTCTTACAAACTATGCCAATATTGGTCATCTGAGAAGTGTTTCAGAATTTTATTTACTCATCTAGAGTTATGCCAACCTTTCATTCCATATGACATGTCAATCATTAAGGCTCTGTGTTACAAAATTATTCAATATCCCTTTGATTCTCTTATTTTTTTAAATTTTCTCAGTAGAAACTCATGCTTCCATGTATCTCAACATTTAAAAATCTATAAAACAGAAGTTCAAAACCTAGCCATATAAAATATACATTAAAAATAACATTAAAAAAATAGCATGTTTTTAGGGACTCTGGTTAGGAAATATAGAAAATCAATTCAAAAAGGATTGTGACACAAAAATCTGTAGCATTTCTATTTACACTTTCTCTTTAGTACTATTTTCATAAGTAAAAAAAAAAATCCTAATGTACTTTTAAAAAGAGACCTAAGGATAACATAAGCAATATTATTGAATGTAATTTTTCTATAAATTCAACCTCTTGAGTACTTCCCAAACCTTTCTCCTACACTTCACTTCAACTTGCACAACCACAGACCCATCTCCTGATGTGAACTGGCCCACTGGCTTTCCTAGTCTCTTGAGATGGCTTGTTTCTCTTTTCAGTTCTGTATTCCTTACAAGCAACAGGATTATATTTCTACAATCTTCATTCACATCACACCTATGTTTTAAATTATTCAGTGATTATGAATATCACTCACATAAGAAAAAGTTCAAACTCATTAGCAGGAGATTCTGATCAGCCTATTTTTATAGCTTAATTTTCCACTATTTCCAGAACACCGGCCTACTATGTATATTTTTCTAAACTATAAATCTGTATATGACTATTCTCAAACCATCTGCCTGTGATCTCCCACTCTCTCTTCAAGGTTCAGCTCAAATGTTGTTAGTATTGTGAAAGCTTCTCAGCTCCTGCTATATGGAATTGATTATGACTCCATATTACTTATATTGTGGCATTCCCATATTATACTGGGATTATTGATTTCATGTCTCTTTTTTCCCTGATATTCTGTGAGGTCCTTAACCCTCAGAACTCTTAAATTTTCAACTTTGCATTTCCACCACCTAGTACAATATCTAGCATTTGCAAGGTTTTCATTAAAGAAACTGAAAATAGAATAACTATTAAAAATGTATACATCTAGTCTTGATATCCCCTACAAGTGCTAACTTGTAAATGTCCAGATGATTCTTGAATATTTTTATTTGAGCGTCTTTTCACTTATCTTGTTTAAAACTGAATTTATTAAAAAAAAACCACCAAAAACCTGCACCCAGGTTTTTATAGCAGCTTTATTCATCATTGTGAAACCTTGGAAGCAAACAAAAATGTCTTTCAGTAGGTGAATGGATAAATAAAATTGTGACTCATCCAGATTATGAAATATTTTCAGTACTAAAAATAAATGAGCTATCAAGGCATGAAAAGACATGGAGAAAAATTAAATGCATATTATGAAGTGGGAGAAGCCAATCTGAAAAGGCTACATACTATATGATTCCACAACTATATGACATCCTGGAAAAGGCAAAACTATGGAGACAGTAAAACATTCAGTGGTTGCCAGAGGTTAAGAGAAGGGAGGGATGGACGGGTGAGCACAGAGGGTGTTTAGGGCAGTGAAACTACTCTGCATGATATAATGATGGATACATTACATACATTTGTCCAAACCCACAGAATGTAAAACACCAAGAGTGAATCCTAATGTAAACCATGGATTTGGGGTGAAAATGATGTGTTCAGTTCGGTTCATGAATTTAACAAACATACCACTTTGGTGGAAGGTGTTAATAGCAGCAGAGGCTGTGCATGAGTGGCGGCAGGGAGTATATGGTAAACCTCTATGCTTTTTGCTCAGTTTTGTTCTTAACCTAAAACTGATCTAAAAAAATAAAGCTTATTTTAAAAACCCTGAATTTATCATCCTTTTATTTAACAATTATATGTCAGGTAACAGGATTTATTTACAGAGCATGTAATCTGGTAGGTCAGATAGATATTAGGCAAATAATCTCCAATATTGCATACCAGAACCAAAGAGAGCAGGAAGGCTGAAACGAATTTTACGGTTGGGCAGGGCTATGCTGACCACCGGAAAGGGCGATATCCTAAGTAACGCGCGTGGTGACCCAGAGAAAGAGAAAAAACAAAGTATTTGAAGAGCTCTGATTGTTCCCTGACTGGTAAAAGCCAGCCAGTAAGGAAGGTTGGCCATCGATAGGTCAGGAGAAGGGAGGATGTGCCAGATCACACACGCCTCGTCAGCCCTGAGAAAGGGTTTGGAGTTTTGCCTGTGGGTGACAGATAGTCGCTGAGAGATTCTGTACAGGGAATGATATCATCTTTGGCTGTTTAATTTTCCTCTCCTGTGGAAGCTAACTGAATAATTGACCTCAATGAGCTGTACACTGAAGACCTTGTGTCAGAAGCCCTGTGTAGTCTGACGGAAATATCTCTATAGAAATGTCTTCTGTATTTTAGCATAAACAAGCACACTTTAATATGTTACAAACAGTTTTTTTCTATACTATAAATTAACATCGGTCAAACTTATATTCCCATTAATTGACTACATAAGTACCAACAGGACTGAAAAAACATGTGGCTCTACAACAACATCATTTTTCCTGTTGTACATGTTGGCGATGACAGATTTTGTTTGAAGAAAAGATTCTGTCGCACAAAAAATTTGTAACCCACTGCCCCCTTTGGATTTCTTGCTTTTAGTTGTTCCCATCCTCTAATCAATGCTGAACACCACTTACAATTGGCCTACGAAAACATTACAATTGTTCAAATAAAACATTCATTGTTCTTCACTCTATTCTGTCCATTAAATGTCTAAGCCTCAACCCATCATTTCAGATTTTTTTTTCAATTTCTCAGCAAGCATCTCCTGCTTGAAATTAGTTATTTTTTTCCTTCTTTTTTTGTACTTTACCATTCTGGTGCATTACTTTGAAAAATTCAACTTATTTCAAATAAACAACACTACTCCAATTTCACTGATCTTAATATTAAAAATCCTTCAAACTACAGGCTACATCCTATATCTTTTATAAAGGTTTCCCTCATGAAGCCAACTAGAACTAATATATACTCTTGTAAACTTGCACTGAGAATGTTCTTGTACATCTACCTGAAAATTGATTACATATTGTTTTATGCCATTTCCAATGTTTTTCTTTAACTGCTGTTTAACTTACTTTAATATATAACCTTTCACATGTAAATATCTTCTCAAGTGGATTTAACCTACATTAAAACTATTTTGTTTGGCTTAAAAATAGTATGTGATAATCATATTTATTGATTTGAAATGTAAACACACAAATTGCTTCATTATTTAAAAATGCTTAGATTTCTTAACTTAGTTATTTGACTTTAAATAATATATTATTAGGTCAAACAAAATATGTATAAGAAGCCTAATTAAAAAAAAAACTGTCCATTTTCAGTATGGAATGTGCATGCTGTTATACTTCATCAATAGTTGTTATTAAATGTATTCCATAAAGCTTATTATAAAACAGCACATTTTTTTCATTCCATAAATTAGTACATGCACTTTCTTTGCTTATATTGGCTTATTGCCCAGGATACTGAATATCTGAATAAAGAAAAAAAATGTTTGTATAAATGGAAGTAGTCAATTATCTCCTAAAATTTCCTTACTTCTTACGTAGCCAACTATTCTTACTTCTAATAATCTAAAGTGAACATACATATGGAATGAAAATACATAGATGACATAAAGGAAGGAAGAAATAATGTTACAAGCATCATGTGTTAAGGTGACATAGAAAAAACTGTAATTAGTTGTGCTCACTTTTTAGACAAAGGAGAATCTAATTCTATAAATATTATTTTTATCATTGTACAAATACAGTGCATAATGTATTAAATGACCACAAAATATTTCAATAGCCATTCCATTGAACTAAAATGGGTGTTTTTCATCCATTGTTCCAAGTGTTTTTAGCAAAGACAATCTAGAACAGCAGTGAGCAAAATCTATACCCCTGCGGAGCATAAGCAATGCTGAGAAAAGTCCATGAATTCATGTATTCATGTCAGTGGTTTGTGCAAGAAGTGGAAAATCAAGAGAGAGGGAATGAGGAAAAGACTAGGAGAAGGACACAAAAAAATAGATGAAAGAGATTTGGAACATGGTGCATATCGTATGATGGGAGTTGTGTCTGAGGTATTCATGTCTTAATCCATTCCAGAACAACACATACTTAAGTTTCTGAAGAAGGACAAGAAAGTAACAGATGTCTCTGTAAATGTTATGAAAAGTGTAGCTCTGTTTTTAGAGTGTCCTTCACAGTTACAGATATGTATCTTATTTGAGTGAAGGAATTTCAACAGTAACATCAAAAAGACTGCTTCTAATGCCAAACAAAAGGTCTTTTGGGCAACCTTTCCTAGTACAGCTTTTATTGTCAGTGAAGTATGAGACATCATATTGTCTGTCTTGCCTGGTGAATAATGAGAAAGATGACAACAAATCAATGTTGTATGTGAACTAACTTGCTAAAGGCCAGATACAAATACCAAATTACTAATAAAAATACAATAAAGTTCAACACCCACATAAGCTTGCCAATATCTAATTGCAATAACAAAGCAGAGGATCAGTTCTCTTTTGAACTACTACTAAATGTGTCTTAGCATCATATGATTATATAAAAAACACACTGTAATTATAGAGAATAACAAATACATTTTGACATATTTTTGCCCAGCCCAGAGAGGCATACTGATGAGGAGACCATTTACTATTGTTGCTATAGTATTGAATTAACAATTATATGCTTTCTGTATTTGGACAATGATTTGATAACTTTTGATATTTAGTAGTGTGTGTGTGTGTGTGTGTGTGTGTGTGTGTGTGTGTGTGGTGGGGAGGAATGGACCAAGAAAGACTTGGAAATAAAACTGAAGATATGTAAACTCTTGGAAACAGTATTACATACTGTAATAAAAAAGAAGAGACAATCTTTTCAAGATTATGGTTATTCTTGTCTAGGTGAATCTCCCAACTAACCCTTTCCTACCATCCCACTGCCATTGCCTTATTTGATTCCCTTATCATTTTCATGATATTGGCAATTTTGCTGCACTATACCACACATTACGCCCCAGCCTCCTGTTGTCAATCCATCATGTACAGCCAAAGATCAGAATCCCTATATGACATACAAAGCCTCACAACTGACCTCATGAGACACCTTCTCAGGTTATCTGCTGCCCTATGCATGTTACCAACTCAAAAAACCTCATATAACAGCTACCAACTATGGACAGATAGAGACAAGCAATTAGAATGCAATATGATAAGTACTACAATAGAAGAATAGCTTAAAGAATAATGAGAAATAAAGAAAAGACAAGTAACCTCAATTAGAATAGGGCCCGGGGTTTTGGGGGAACAGTGGAAAGTACTAAAGGAAGACTAATGGGGCAATTCCTTTTCTTTTCTCTTTTTTTTATTCTCCTCTTTATTTCTATTTTTGTCTTTGGCCAGAAAATTTTCTTTTCATCTGAACAGTAAATGTGCAATAAATGCTAACTCTAGTAGCATTTTTGTTTCTTTGTTTGTTAACAATCTCTTTTGGTACATAGGCTACTTTAGGTTAGGGGCTATTTCTTGTTATTTGTCCTTTTTTGCTTCTGACTTAGATCTTGGCACACAACAGCCACCCTATTTTGGGTACTGTTATTGGTAAATCAATGACTCAAGATTAACCTCAAAACTCATCCTCTGTAGATTGTTCTAGCCTTACCTGGCACACATGATTATGCTTTCTACATGCAAATTATTTTGGCATACACATTGCTCATCTAGGATTTGTCATGCAAATAGTGTGTGTGTGTGTGTGTGTGTGTGTGTGTGTGGTTTCTGGTCTCTACCTCCCACTCCTGTGAGCTCTCTAGATCAGGGATCACATCTTTCTTATTAATTGTGTATTTCTTTCTTTCATCTTTGTTGCTCTCCTTCCCAGCACTGGACTTAGCACTTCTTATCACTTGAAAAAAAAAAAGTGTGCTGAATAAGTTCTCTATTATGATATGTTAAAAACAACAAAAATGACATAGGACCATAAGAAGTACAACTGAAGAAGCTTTGTTAGAAATAAAACTTATTAAAAACAAAAATGTGACTTCTGAAGTTTTTGTTGTTTGCGTTTCAAGAAAACGCATAAACCTGCATAAATTTCAAATTAAGGCAGATATACAATTCTATAGAACTCTTCAGCAAAACATTCAATGTTAACATCATAAACAGCAGAGGATAAATAATCTAGAAAGTGTTCAAAAACCTGTCAGTATTATAAGGTTTTCCCATTAGAAAAAAACACAGAAATCTGAAGACTTAACAAGAAATGGACAAAACCATCCCAAGTCTACTCATTTTAATTTATTCTTGTCATATTGACTCAAAATATGCGTTTTCATTACAAACAATTGAAATAAGAACTTTCAAGTGTTCGCCTTTAAAAAAACTGAGTCCAAAGAATAAGGAAATTGCATTTTGCTGTAAGTTTACTGACAGGTTAAGACTTAACTACAATTTTTGTTAATAGTGATAATTTTCTTTTTTTTTCAGGAAATAATAGGCAAATATCTCAAAGATAAATTAGAACTAAACTACATGTATGCCACAAAGACTTTGAATATATGTAGTAAAAAAATATATTTCTCTACCTATCAAAATATCAAATAGATTTTTAGAAATCTTTTATGAAAAAAAATTTTTAATACACTCTGGTTGAATGTTAAAATAATTTGCTATTCCAAAACAGGTACAAATAATTTTATATTTTATATCATAATATTCTGAAATTCTGAAAATACTATGTTTCAAAAATAAAAATCTGCACCAACATGAATCATTTCATTCATCACATGAATATTTCCTATTCTATGATGACAACAAAATCCAATGAGAAGTTTAGCATTTATTTGAAATAAATTAGTTTTATTTTAATGGGTAATAGATATTATTATAGTCTGTACATTTTTTAAAGTAGACTTAGTGGAAAAATAAAAAAGAAAGATTCCAAATTACTTCTAATTTTCATGTGATCTGAGTTGAATGTTTAACAGCACTACTTTCTCGTCCCAGTTTACAAGTTCTCATTTCCCCAACTTCTGACTATGGAAGATGTCTAAGCCCTGTGATAATCTCTTCTTGTGAAATACATATCCTTGGTGTCTCTTTGTCCAGGATCCATGCAACATTGACACATTTATATTACCCATATGTATTACATAAGAGTTTTGGTTTTTGTTTAAGTCAGAAAAAAGAGGTGTGCTTTTTAATTTATTTCAAATATGAAATTATTGTTATAAAGTAAATAATAATGATATGCATATATATGGGAGCTATAACCCCATAGAAGGAAATGAAGCCCTTTGGAGGTAAAGAAAGATATAGAGAAAAAAAATACATGGATATATGCATAGCTATGTATCTATCTGCATGTATAATGCATATCTAGTACATATATACATGTATTACATAACTAGGAGAAAAGTCAAATGATGTTCTTTGAAATATGCAAATGTGGCATAGAAAGTTATAGTTAGGAAAATTAATTGGGAGACTGCAAAGATAGCAGTTACATAAAAATAAAAGGATATGGAGGAAAAATGCAGAAGCATGTACATGTAATCTTTATGGGAAACAAGACAGAAAATAAACCATTATTCAAATAAACTGAATTTTAATGTTGAATTAAATGTTTAATTTTAGTATTTTAATATTTAAATACTTCTAAATAAATAAAAACCTGGAGAAAAATTGCCTTTATTCTGTATTTTTTATTATCATTTAAAAGCAATAATAACCTTGGAAACTGAGGAAGCGGTTGGCATTATTTAAATAGAAAAAGAGATTGAGTATGTTTCTTCTGACTTGCTATTTGTTTTTGGATTAGAGAATAAAATGTATCGGTGTCTTTATGCTTTAACATCAATTAACAGTACAACTAACAGAGTAAAACAAACTAACTCTTGAGAGATGTTTGGGAAAGACTAAGGGAACTCGTCGTATGTAAAGGCCCTCCAAGGACATTTTCTAACTTAAAAAGGTTTTGTTACAGAGTGTTCATTGGTTTGAACCCCTTTTATTGTTCAGACTCCTCGATTCCCATCAAAGCTGACGATTAAAGTTCTACCCACTGGCCAGGTCCCTACAATTATCCCATTGTGATGGAGTTTGACAGTGGGCGCCCTGCTATGGCCAGACATCAAGTCATTAGAGAACTGTGAGGGATGATGAAGAAGGTTATTTTAATTCCCTTTTCAGCCCTTCTCAGGAGTGGCTCTTTAGTTCACAGAGCTGTGGGGACTGGCTTTCAAACTAACAAGCAATATTATAAATGGAGGCAGCATTATCGTGATTGCAGACAATCTAAGGCACTTGACAGCCAAGGATTCTAGGTCCTCAGTATGTGCTTTGTTGTATTTATCAGCTCGAAATACATAGATGGTGCAAACAAAAAAGGGGGGAGAAGCAAAGAAAAGGCTGGGAAGGGGGCGGGGAAAACAGTAAGACAGCACAGGATAAAGACACAAGTGCACAATAGAGAGGGGAGTACAGCCCTGGGCATTTTGTTGGTATATAAAATATTTTTACCCGTTTTCTTGCTGTTCCACTGCATAGTGTTCCAGCTCTGTACCAGGAAGGGGCTGGACTGGGGGAGGAGGTAGCGGAACATTGGCCCAAGTCGATCCATTGTTTTTCTGCGGTTTAGAGGAATTTTTATTTTTCTTCTTTTTTCCACCTTTCCCACCTGAAATTAGTAATGTATTCATTCAGACATACCAAATATCAGAAGAAACAAAGCACATCAGATGAAATGATGTAGTTATGTTTTCAAAACACCAGCATCAGTATGTTATAGTTGTTAAAAGCTATAAACAATGAAATCATATAATCAGAAAAGCATTTTTATAAAACATTCAAAATGATATTGTTTCTTTCCCAGTGCATTAACTACAGAGCTGAATAAACCAAAAACATGGCTGCAGTAGGAAAAGCACATCTATTGATTTATTCAAGTCTGCTGCCTCCACGTTTTCATTGTTAGATGAAATAATGGGCCATAACAAATTCTTTCAAATGTCAGATTTCAGTGTGTTTATAATGCTCTTTTGCATAATCTCTCTCAGTGGAAAATGCAGTGTCTAAGGATACAGGCCAAATTTTTTCCATTAGAATTTACTCAATTTAATTAATCCAGGGGAGTAACAGTTTTCTCTCAAAAGTAACTGATAAAAATCAATCAACTATACTGGAGGATACTTGTAAATCTTTCACACTGATATGTATTATAGAATTTTAAACTAATGAATGGCAATTATTTTTGCATATAGTGAGAGTATTCCCCAGATGTTTTAAGCATAACATTTACTAAAATTCCAAACAGGAAGGAAAATGAATGGAAATACAGTAATCGGTGTCAGTACTATTGTAATACAAATTAATTCATGCACAAAACATGAGCAGTAAGTAACTGGGCAGCATACAGGCCATATCTGGAATTACTGGAGCTTAATGAAATCTAAAAATAAAATGTATCATTTGTAGACTGCCATACTTTTCACTCTTCCAAAATTACATGAGTAAGTTTCCTTCCTAAATGGACCCAAGTGGATGCAGAAATGAATACTTCTCGAGCAGAATGACAAAGGATGATTCAGGGGAACCTACGTAATTTCCGTCACTCCCACTATGGTCTATAGCTATATTTCCCCCCAAAATGGTATTGGCCCCTTGGATCTCATCTTTCTGGAACTGAAAGTTGCAGGCATTAAATATTCATAGTAGAGTTATCTAACAAATAGAGATATCACTAGAAATCTACCTCAGCTTCTTTCTTTTGCCAATTAGTAATCTGCATCAGACAATTCAGAAAATTATGTAACTTAATAATAACGTATTTGAATGCCAGAAAGTGACGGAGCTGATAAACTGGACACACACACTATTGTCAATTATGGAATTATGTCTGTTGTTTTCTAAGTAGTGTTCACTTATACACACATTTTAAGAAGTATCTGTGCAAACAAAGTGCTTTCACCTTTCACTTCTATCTTTGGCAGAATGAGAGGTAGTTAGAGTAAGAACAGGTATCTTCTGCTTCAAGGATAAGACCTTGATCTCTGGGTTTGAAGACTACTTTCTCAATTACTTGAGAAATTACTCAATAGATATCACCTCAATTTCCACATATGTAAAACAGATATAAAGTTACTACTTACTTAGGTTATTTTGAGGATTACAGGAGCTAATGAATGTAAAAGGCTCAGAATATAGAGAACGTTCCATAAAGGGCCAGTCATTACTACTTCTTCCCTTTGCCTCTATCTCAGAGTAAACTGGGTTCTGCCTATTTCTAAAAACCTTGTCATGCCCAACTCCTCCACCCCAAGGAGTACCCCAGAAACAGCCTGATTTTCAAAATAAGAATACTAGACTTGTTTGAATGTGTCTCTAATTTTTGTGTTTAAGGTAGATGAGCCTTAATCCTTTCTTTCCTGATAATCCACCAAAATTACAAAAAAGGATTGTATTTTTTTTTCCTGTAGTATCAGAACTATATTTCAATAGTTAAAAGAGGAATGGGTTGGGTCATGTGTCCTTCACAGCCTTTCATCTAGCTGTGCCTCCTTCATTTCTTATATACTTATATGCATACAATGCTTTTGACACTTTCCACAGCACTTTTGGAAATGTTATATGATCACCACCAGAACTGAGTGACACAAATAGGGAAATTCTTACATCTCCAATTTATAGATGCGAAAACAGAGATGCTTCCTGAGTGTTATGTAGACCATATTCAGAACAAGAGGGGGGGAAAACAATAAAAAATATAGCAGCTTTTGTGGAAATTACTATTTCTAGAGCTCTGAACCCAATGCTGTTTAAGTCCTTACCCAAGGTCAAGAAAGCCATTATCAAATCTCCAAAAAACATACTTAAAAAATGTATTATGGAAACAGGGCTGATTCATAAAGGGAATTTGTGAGGGCTTTCTATCCAACATCCATAACATCTCTTTGGGGAAAATTTCTGCTCTAATTATGGACAGTCTTTGCAGGACTATCAATCAACGTATTTTGTATTCTTATAGCAATGAGCTAAGAGATGGGCTATTAGCATGGTGGTAGGCATATGACAGAAGCTAAGGAAATTAAATTTTCTTTCTGAGATGTAAACCTTGAGTGACATAAGCCACAGCTTTTTTCTGTTACTTGCAACCAAAGATCCTAAAGCATTTTAAGGTGAGAACTTTGTGCAGTACATTTTACGCGAACATATTTTGATGACTAACAAAATATATTTGACCCGTCTCCCTTCAATAGAAAATGTAAATATTTGGATTTATATTTATTTACGTTGAACAAATGGCTTCTATGTAAACTATGAAAAAAAGCTCATTTTCAAATTAAACTTATAGTCTATTTTCTAAAGTTCTGCTGCATAATATGATTTAGTTATTGATACTGCTGCATAATAAGATTTAGTCACACACACACACACACACATACACATACACACGGGGGTGCTGAAAAATGAATGCACAATTTAAGAAAGAAATAAACTATTAATATTGTAATATTCAACATGCACCAATAACAAAAGATGAATACAAGTCACATTTGATTTCTGCAATTACAAGAGGTGCTCATAGTGGTTAGCATCAGCGTCCAGACACCTGATTATGGCGAACTACTACTTGAGCAATGTTGACCAAAGTGTCCACTTGTATACATTTTTTGGCACCTCCGGTATATATAATTATGATTGCAGATGCTATTTTGAAAGATTGGAGTTTTCTTTTATATTTTAAATGGTTAGATTGTTAACAGAAGTGCTCGCAACTTATGTATTGAATATATTATAAAAGTGCATCAAAGAGGATGAGAAATTCACGCAAATAATTTTGAAATCTCCAATTTTTTTATTACTGTAATTAATTTAAATTGGTTTCATCACTGTGCACAAATTAAGAAAAGCTCATAACATGATAGGATTAGATATCCACAGGGCAGTTTGATCCGAAATTTGAGTCTTAGGAAACATACTCATGATTATAAGGATAAAGCAAACTCTGTAATATTAAATCCAATTGAACTGAGCTAAAAAGGGAATAATCAATTCACTTTCTCCTCCTAAAGAATGCTTTCTATCACCAATTTAAGTAATTTTGTATTCAAATGTAGATGAAGTAGTTAATATAATTCATAGATATATATAAATGTCACTCAGGAGATTAATGAATTCAAAAAAAATGTAAGCTCTATTGTGAATCGTGTTCTGCTTACAATTACTCAAAAGATAACTTTTAAAACTTGGTGGCAATCAACATATACAGAATACTTAATGAAAGATTTACAGAAGGTTTTATGTATTCCATGGCTTATAGTGTGTGTGTGTGTGTGTGTACATATATATATATATATATTACATATATTGCTTGAGACTTTACATATCTCAAATGAAATAAACCTAGTATAAATTACTTTTTAATTATTCAACTCAGTTGTGAGACTCATTATAAATAAATGACAGTATAAATGACATATAAGCCTATTCAAAAAAAGTCCTCTATATTATTAAGTCAGTTTAAATTCATAACAGATGTTTAAAATTTTCTGGATTCCATAATGTATCTAATTCTACCAATAGGTAAGAAGGGCCAATTGCCCATTTTGGAGGGAATAAAAGAACATTAACATTTTCAGATTGAAAGGGTACTATCTCCTGAGGAAAAGTCATTTAGTAAATGTTACCCTAATGATGGAAAAGAATTAACTCTTTATAGCCTTGATGCTTGGTAAATCTGTAGCATATAATACACAATAATCTTTCCTAAGTAGCCACAGTTAAAGAAAAAATTAGCTTTATAAAAACAAACAGCATATAATTTATATGAAAAATTAAGCAAATAACATCATGAAATCAATTAGAAATGAGCAGATAAAATCATCGGTCATACAATGTATATGTTATGATTGGAAGTTAGCGTGTGTCTACTGTGACCTCCTCCAAAATAAGAAAAATCCTTGGGCCTGGAGGATATCACTGATATTCATTATGATAGGTATACATTTCTGTCCAGTAAAATGTGTTTTTCCCCACATGTACTATACAATATCTACATTATAGATAGTAAGTTTGGCTGATATATCTCAAATATATATTAAAATTTACATCATAAAAATTACCAATATGAAAACCATATTTTGGGGGACAATTGAATATGAAGAATAATGTCCCATATTAACATTCTTGTTTAGTATGTGTCAGCATTTTACTCTAAATGCTGTCATTCAATAGATGATAAATCCTATTACATGATATTCTGGACAGATTATCTAAAAATAGGAAGGCACATCACTAGAATCCTAATATTATGAAAAAATCTCCAAGATCATTTGTACTCCAGTTGAATTCATCTTTTAGTGTACACACCATGGAGTTGACTTTCCTGTATGATCTTTTTATTGGAAAGTTCTCTTGACTTTTAAGTAGGGCTCAAGGCAGAGCAAATTAATCTGCTCCCTAATGAATAGTGTTTAGTAAAATGGTACTATTTTTCAGTAATTATAGTCTTATACACTTAGTAAATAAAGGGTGACAGTGATTTTTATCCCCCCACCCAAGCATGCTTTCATTAGGATAAACTGCTATTGTCATTTGTAGGATAAATGCCTGACAGTGAGTTGTGATTCAGAATTTCTTCATCGTTGTTAGGAATACAGGTCATATGCTGGTGACAAACAAATATTTGTCCTTACGGTGATGAGACCAACCTGAGAGACTGCCACTCCTTTCTGAGCTGTTGTGAGAGCTGGTGGTGCTGAAATCCTGTGACTGGTTGTGTGGCATTCTACTAGACAATCCCTCAGCCAATCGGTAGTCAGGGATGTAAAGTAAGGCTAAAGGTTAAAGGGCAGAGGTCATAGTGGCATCATGTGATTAGTTCACAGCACAAGCCCATGCAGAACATGCAGTTAGCAACTCAGAAGCAGATGTTGGAGGACAGTGGACGCATGTTTTGTCTATCCTGCCTAATGGAAGTCAAGATGGATTACTGATCACTCTATTGAAAAGGAGCTCAAAGGATGAAACAGATTTGGTGTTGGTGTGTGGTGGCAGTGACGGTGGCGGTGGTGGCGGTGGTTGTGGGGTGGTGGTGGCGGTGGTGGTAGGAATTGTGCAAGGTGCCAAATACATGCCGATATATGTTTTTAGTTTAGAGAGTGAACCTGCTAATGAAACTGAACAACAAATACTAATTTCTATCTCATGCACAAATGATATGCAAATAACTCCTGAAAATGAAAATAGAAACCTGACTTACCATTGTTACCTTTGTTCTGATCAGGTAGAGAATACCCGAATCCCATCAGATCTGTCTTTTGTTGAATTGAGCTTTTCCATTGCGGATCAGGCAGATCGACAGCCAATTCGTGTATGCTATTGGAATGCAAGATCTGTGTTGTGGCATATGGGGTGGCCTGTGTTATTTGGCTGGAACTGTTGTAACTGGTTTTGGTCGTGAAGTCAATGCTGCTGTAAATGGCTCCCTCTGAGAGCATCGTTGCTGTTTTATCCCCTTGGCCTGGAACCGGTGGCAGAACATCTGTGGTGCACATAGGAAAATGAAACAATTTAATGATGCACAGGAAGCCCAAAACTATCAGGATTGAAGATGAAAAATATATGTGTCATCCTGCACGTTTGCATTTCAGCTGAGATGGGTTTCATGAGCCAATGAAGGGTAGATGATGTACAACCTTCGCCGAGCTATCAGCCTCGGTGACAGGCAGGCTTACTGCTCGCCCTTCACGTCTCACTGCTTAACACACCCCTGCCCCCATTTTCTTCAACTAGGAATAAGAAGTTTGGGATACTTCACTACTGAAAAATGCTTTCAGTTGTTCATTGTGTTTCAGCACGAATGAAATTGTTAGCTCTTCATAGGAGCAATGGTAAGAGTGAAAACACAAATTCTGGATGAAAACACATTTCCCACTTTGTCCCAAAAGACATAAAATACAACTGCTGAATAGATGCAAGCATTTCTAAAATGTTACTATCCAAACTATGAAGTATATTTTTCCTGAAGTTTCAACTTGCAGTTTATCTGATTTGATTTCATAGGTCTGGAAATAGAGTGTAACTGATGGTAGATATGTTTTCTTTTTTCTTTTTTTTTTCCTTAAATAATAAAGAAAAATTTTCATAAATAAGTCATTTGCACAATGCAGCAAGATTTAACTATAGAAAAAGCAATCTGAGGTGAGTTTAATTTATGCTAGCAACTCTTAGAGGTGGAGAAGCATAGTTTCAAGTTGTAATACAGCAAGAGTAAAGTTAGGGGCAACACTGAATATCAATCAGTCCATTTATTATTCATCGTTTTGGCATGCTGAATTATCTTTACAGGATGAATTATAATTCAGAACTGCTAACTCTCTTTTGAGCTCTTGTTTTTCCTTTTCAGAAGGAAGATACTAGAATCTACAAAAAAAAAAATCTAAATAACACTATAACCATATAGAGTTAAAAGTAAATTTAACAATAGAATGTTCCTTAATTATCTATATTTTGAAAGCCACACTGCATAGAACTTGAGGTCATCAACTTGATTTCTTTCACATAAGAAAATTTCAACTAGTTATAGTAATGTAATATTAAGCAATAAACCAAATTACCCCAGCACGAAAACCAATTTACGTAACAAGGAGGAAGCTGAAGTAGGAACTTAATAAAAATATCTTAAAACTTTTAGATTTGATGATAGCTAACAGTACTTGAAATGAGAATTCTTATAAAAATATTATTTTTGCTTTTGCATTTTATAAAAGCTAAATTTTGTCTTGTTTAGCAACATAACGAGATATTGATGATGTATTTTGTACATTGTATAACTGAAGTCTTTCTGCAGGTTTTAAAGTCTGGAATTCCAACTTGTCTTACAATTGAGTTGGTATGTAATTTATTGAAGTGAATATTTTAAATGTATATTAGTAAAATTGTTAAACACTCAAATTTATAATATTTCATCAAGTTGTATAAGCAAATAAAATGTTTTTTTGATTTCTCAATTTCACAACTACTTTCTTGCCCTTCTTGTTTTTTGCTATAGACTAATTAGACAATTTGATGATGAGGCAGCATATTTCATTCTCAAGTGTCAGTATCATTTTTATTCTCAAAAACTACTAATTAATAACATATCAAAATTGCGGAAATAAATCCTTCACTCTGGGGAGGTTTTCAGAGTTTCTGCCACCTCCACCATGTCTTTCACTGATGAATATTAACTGAATAGACATGTTTCTCCAGCACAGGAGCAACTTTCCAACACTTTGAACTTGAGGTTCTCCAAGCTTTTAGCTTTAAATTGTGAGCCACTTCAACAACAAGCTTTTGACGTGGTTGTGTAGTCAACGTTTAAAACCAGAAAAAAAGTAGTCTGGGAATATAATCCTGCATAATGTGATGCCGCAAGAACTAAAACTATAGCTCTAAAATAGAATCTCTCTCTGCTGGATGACATTAGTCAGCCTACAAGCCTAAGTGCTTTATCGATTTTTGAGCTCCGTATTTCCTTCAAATGTTATTCGGTCACTCCTACATTTTCAAAAAATAAATTGAATTATATCTCAACATTGAAATATTAGAAGCGCAGGCATGAATATCTGTGTGTGGCTGAGCACCCTCTAACATCAGGTGGTTCGGAAGTCTGGATCAGACTTCATCTCAGCAGCCTGGACCTGCAGAGCTGCTGCCATCTTTAGGCAGGATTTCCCATTTTCCATTTCTCACAGTCCACACCTAACACATTCTTAGTGCTTTAAGTGGGCAGACTGCCTCTTGTTAACCTCTGAGTTTGAAAACTGTGAATTACAGAAACCCTTTCGTCCATCAATTACTCATGAATCATTCTGTAGGTTCTCAATAACTTGGTTAAACATGCATGGTTTTTGGCCTGCTCTAAATAGTTGTAAGAATGCCTGTCTCCTTCACTGCATCATAAGTTACTTGAGGACAGGAACATAGAGATTTATGTCTGTATTTCTAAAATTCCTTAGATTTTTGCAGAGAGTAAGAACTCACTGAATGGTTAAATATGTTGTTTAAGCTTGTGCTGACAAAATGCAGACCTATGGGATAATTGGTAACTTTCTCATTCAAAATACCATTTCCATTCCATTTAATTGTGTATTGGTATTCCATTTTTAAAGGGAAAATTTCAGTATACATAATTATTCTTCTGAGTAAATATGTTTATGCTACAACCACACATGTGCACCCCACCTTTAGAGCTGCAGAGCAGTATAGGTAAAAGAACTTAGGCTTTAGAACCTGTCAGGCCTGCATTCTACACCCAGGTGTCAAATTATTCATCTTGAAAAACCTTAGTTTCCTGACCTTTAAAATGAAAATATTCTTATTATCTATGTCAAACATTCATTGTGCCAAGAAAATGAACAAAAACAAGTACAAAAAAGTACTAACAGTATTTATGGTACAAAGTAAATGCTTCAAATGCCTATCACACTGAAAATAGATACACTAAACCCTTCAAAAAGTTTGTCTTGGCCTTGATGTTCATCTGTGAAAATTTTCATGTCATGAAAATGGGTGGAAATAGAGGAAAAAACTTGAAAATCTACAAATGTACCCATTACCTAAATTACACTGAGACATTTTAGATGTTAGTGTAGCTTGATAGGAATGGAGAAACATTTTTTCCTCCATCTTTAGATATTAATCCCTTGATATGAACATAAAAAGTGTGCTATTCCAATAGGAATAGAACAAGTAAAACAACAACAACAACAACAAAAAGCAACTATTCCTTGACTGATACAAGCTTTGCGAACAGAATTTCTTTTGACACAATCAGTCTGGATACTAGGTCTGGTTAGAAGATTCTCAGGTACAGAAACTACCTGTGGTAGAGCGATAACCATTGCAGGGCTCAGAGTTTGGTCACCTGGGGAAGATAGCCAATTTCAGAGGCTGTGGGCAAGTGAGAATTCTAAATGGGGTATACTAGATTATAGAGCAGCGGTTCTCAACCTTCCTAATGCCGCGACCCCTTAATACAGTTCCTCATGTTGTGGTGACCTCCAACCATAAAATTATTTTCGTTGCTACTCTATAACTGTAATTTTGCTACTGTTATGAATCGTAATGTAAATATCTTTTTGTTTTCCGATGGTCTTAGGCGACCCATGTGAAAGGGTCATTTGACCCCCAAAGGGGTCACAACCCACAGGTTGAGAACTGCTGCTATAGAGGGTACCCAAGAAATTTAAGAGGCATGCAATTTACTCTCCATTCTTTCATTTACTCCAAGGATGTATATTGGGCACTGATTGTATGTCAACCTTTGTGTTAAAGATACACACACACACACACACACACACATATACATATATATACATATATATATGTATATATATACACACACACATGTATATATATATATATATTTTTTTTCATTCATTTAATCCTTATTGCACACCTGTAGGTAGGAATGGTTATTTTCTGTATTTTATTTGGAGAATGGGAGAGAGCTCACCTTCTTATAGTTGGTATTGACAAATGCAGATTTATATAATACTTAGTAACTTTATTATTTGAAATACTATTGTGTTGTCGGAAAAGTCATGATGCATTTTTGTAACGAAAAACAGAAAAAATACGTCATGACTTTTCCGACAACCCAATATTTTAATGATATTCAAACAAGTATAGGTGTTCCATTCTTAATGAGAAAATACCAATATCCATGAAATCCACCAGTGAAGCTTATAATTGACTCAGAATAGTTTAACTCAGCCCTGGGTCTCCTGCATTCATTCTACCTGGAAGTATACACATCCTCCAGTGAATTCACCCAAACTTTCTTGAGTTACAACACTTCTTTCCTAATTAATCACCCCAATTTTTCACTGGAACTCCATTCTCCACCCAGCAACAGGCTGGATGATTTAAAACAATACTTGTATTTTAACATTCTCTTCTTTAAAATCTGTCAGTGGCTTCAGGTCACTCTTTGGACAAAGTTTCAGTCTCTGTGTGGCTTAGAAGGCACTATCTGTCCCTCTGTATTTTTTACCACCTCTGCTGCCTTGTTATTTCTGTACCTTAAAGTACAGTAGTTTATTCTCCACACTTTTTTCACACTTTTGACTAATTCCTAACTCTCCTTCAGATATCATCGTAAGTAATACTGCTTTCATAGAATTGTCTTACTTCCAATGAGCAGGTCTGTCATGTAGGGTGTTGGCAACACAGCTCAAGTCCATTTACTGTCTGCACAGTCTTCTCCAATGGAAAACTCGTATATATGTGCCAAACTAAACACTGGGACCAGAGGTTTCTGTAGTCTCATCTTTCTCTAAACCAGCAGTTCTCAACCTGTGGGTTGCGACCCCTTTGGGGGTCGAACGACCCTTTCACAGAGGTCGCAGGGCACTCGTATGAGGGCGTATCTGCATGTGGGCCTGGAGACAGATAGAGGAGCGGTGTCTCGTTTCCTAAGACGATCGAAAATATGTGTTTTCCAATGGTCTTAGGCCACCCCTGTGAAAGGTTGAGAACCGCTGCTCTAAACCTATCACTCTTCTATTGGCTGGATGAGAAGATGGAGTGGGAGATGGTGATTATTTATAATAGGTTGAATTCTATCTCCTTAAAAAGACCTAAGGAGAGGACTCTGGCCCCAAATTTGGAGACTTCAGCATGTCAGCTACTTAGAGCCTTTTTGTCTTTTATTTGGAGTACTGGTTATCAATTGTAGAACTACAGAAAAGTTATGTCTCAACACGTTGTTAAACTTATATAAGTGTGTACTCCTTACATGATACATGAGAATAAGGACCATCTCTTTTTATATGATAATATATTTTTACTGTCTGTGATAGTGACAGGTACATAAGACGTGCTCAATAAATATATGTTGAATGAATTAGTAAAGTGAAATGACTAGTCCAAAAATCATAAGCTCTATTTAGCAGCATAGTTCCTGTTTTTAGTAATCTTGTACTAATACTCTTAAAAATAAAATATATTATGAATTTTTATCTTCTTGCTTAGTAATGACTTCCTTAAAAGCTCAGTTTTACGCAAGGTAATATTGACACAATGGTTTTATAAGAAAATATTCAGCACCGTACCACAGTGTTATCATACGTGCTTAATTAATTTTATTTATGAAAGACAATACTCTCTAACATATCTTTTTAAAAACAACTAGGAAAGCCAAAAAACAAAGGAGAAATAACAAAATTTTGAAAAACACTACTTACCTCCACGCCCAAAATTCCCAATCTCATTGGGGCCACTATTGCTGTTGTTTACTGGCAAGCTCGTGGCTGGCCATGAGTCAGCAAGCCATGGGTAACTGGGGTCACCAGCATTGAGAAGACCTGGGCGGCTAAAACAGAAAGTAAAAGGAAATCAATCCATGGAGCTCAATGAGAGACTTGGACACCTGTCTCATGCACTAAAATTAATTTTAAAAATTAAGAAGAGTTTAATTCACTTCAAATTAAAATGTGTAGGCTCCCTGGAACTAATGAAGTACAGCAGTTCATTAAAGCTACATATAGATTAACCCTGTCAATGGAAGCAGGAGGGTCCTGCCTGGGACTCTGCCGACATCCAAATGAATTCAGCAGTGCGCCCTGAAACTGGTGGGAATCCGTACCATAGTGGGATCTTGAAGCAAGCTTTGATGATAAATTGGCACCTCAAGGGAACAATTGCTCAGAGTGACTGCTCAGTATCAACTATTTCCAGGACTTTGGGCTATTCCTTCCCCAATTCCTGCAACCCGCACATTTATCTGTCCCCTGTAGGTTGTAATCTCTGTTATAAACCCTCGGGTTTGATTTAGGTCAAGGAACTTGAGGGAAATTAATGCACAGTATTTATACTGTTCCATCAATAGAGCATTTCCAAGTTCTCTAAATTGAAAATATTAGGGGTATATTAATTTTTTAAGGTAATAAAAGAGCCACTGTGTATAGAGTCTATAAGAAAACTTTCTTCACAACCTAAAGAAATTACATCTTTAATGTTAAAGATGAGGATTCTGATTCCTTCACAGATTATTAACATGTTTACAAAGACACAGCTACATCTATAATCATTGTACTTTTCTCTTGATAGACACTTTCTGTTACAATCCCTAAGAGAAACATGTGTTTCTATGGAAACTGCAATAAGAAGACCCAACTGCTTTTTTGCTACATTCACTAGTTCTCATTAGACCTAATCTCTTTTTGCTAAAATATTGATTAAATGGGAGATTGGAAGTTATTACCAGAGCCTAATTACAATCTCCGTATTGGCAAAGGGAAAATAGATGAGAATATATGGGTTTGTTATCAGCTTTTATCAATTTCAATTGAGTATCCAAAGTTGTGGAATCCAGGCCTATCAATCTACAGCCTATTCATCATCCATGAATCATTTACTTTGTGATCGATTATGTGTAATTGTTCACTCACAGCAATTTAGTGAGAGCCAATAAGGAGTCTTAAACAACAGCAACTTCATTTGCTAATGTCTAATTAATGCAATAAACATCCTGCTAACAAATGAACACATTCCTTGTGATATTTACTACTAATTTCTTCAGAGGCATCTGGGAGATATGAAACATCTGGACTTGATTCCTGTAAAGTGCTCAACAGATAGATCATTAAACCTGCAGTAAGCCATTTAATTCCTCCTAGAATTCTCAGACTTATAAGCCATCATTTATTACAATAAAAGCCTCTTACTACAGTTTCCTCAGTCCTGATTAAAAATGGTAATAATAAAACTAAGAATCTCCTTAGCATACCTTCCATTGCTCATTAGTCCTCCATCTCCTCTTTGAAATGTAACTGCAAGAAAAAAAAGACACATACACACACAAGTAGTCAATATTAATTACAATTAATAACAACTACATATTGGCCCTTAGTTTAGAACTGAAGCCTCTGGGAATTTTAACAAAATATAATTACCATAATTGTACACAGAGTAAAAAGAAATGAATTGGCCCCGGGCAAAGCCATCATTTGTTCCAACTTAACTAAGACATTTAAAAAATTTTCAAACCAAAGGTGTGGTTAAAGGGGCGATTTGTATTTCAATGCCAAATGTTACAACTGTTACAATTCGTATACATAATGGCCTTGCAAAATGGGCAAGCTGTAAGGGGGAATTAAGAAATCATGACTTTTAATCTTAATATATGTGTGTCCTAATTAGAAGGAATACACAAAAATCAAATACAGTAAAACCTTGGATTGTGAGTAACTTGGTTTGTGAGTGTTCTGCAAGATGAGCAAACATTTCTAATACATTTTAACGTGGTAAACAAGCGATGTCTTGCAATACGAGTAGTTTGTTTCTGGAACAAATTATGCTTGCAAACCAAGGTATGACTGTACTACAAATTGAAACATGATAGTTCAAACAGGTAACATCATCCTTCGGATGATACAAGCGAAATAGTTACTAACTGATGACATATTCCTCACCTTTCCTCACCATCACAAATCTTTTTAGCAACATTGATAAGTACTGAGTTGAACAGCTATAATTACAATAGACATGAACTGTATGTAATAGAGAATAACATACTTAGTGCTTTGTTTCATCATCCAACCCTCACAAAAATGAAAATTTCAAATAATGGACACCAAATATATTCCAATTGTATATAGTCATTACAAAACTCAGGTCCTTTATAAAACTGTGGAACATATTAGCAACACCAGCAGGCATCCAGTAGAGCCACAGCTGGGGAATCCACTCCCTCCAGGCACCAGATACCATTCCACAAATAACAACATGAACACAGATTTTGAGGATTAACCAAAGAACGTAAATATCAGTTTGGGTCCCTCCTCATTTATCCAAAACCTTTGCAGCCAAATGTATTAGAAATTCAAAATGTATCTGAAAAAGATAATATGATGCATACTACAGAAAGGGTCTAAGGCAGAAAACTGTAGTCAACATTTTTTTTACAATTTTTGCAGTGAAATGTGAATATTCAAGATTAGTGGAATAAAGTCTACAAACAGTTTCACATTAGTTTGGATCAAGTTTTGCCATTAAATGACTTACCTGCAAAAGCACGCAAAAAGAACCAGTGTTTAGAAGTTTATGAACTGCAAAATTGCAATTATGACCTAAATTAGTATGGATCAGCTAAACCATTCAGTAGGAGTGAAGAAAAAAACAATCATTTTGTATATGTAAACCATATATACCTTATTTTTGGAATATACTAATTTTATTTACTATGATTTTTTTTAAGGTAGTGAGTAAAAATAAATGGAATTTTTATGAATTTAATCATATGTTAAGTAAACTGGGGAACTATTGTTACTTAAAGTACACACATAGTAAATCCTTTTTAATTTAAATGATTGCTCCATAATTCATCTGATTGACAAGATATTCCTCACCATCACAAATCCTTTTAGGAGCACTGATAAGCACTGAGAGTTGAACAGCTATAATTACAATAGACATGAACTGTAATTAATAGAGAATAACATGCTTAGGTCATCTGTTCCTCAAGTTTATACTATAAAATACGATCACTCTTTAAATTTTATAAATTTCCCAAAGCAGTTCCCCAGTCCTTTCCCTAAAGTCGCCTGATGACATAACTCTCATGATGTCATAATTACGCGACATGATCGTAATACAAAGGACCTATGAGGACCCTTATGAAGGCACTACTTCATGAAGGCAGTGTATCCTGGAACATTTTGCTGGCACCTGATGCATAGGGCCTTTATTATTTTTCAGGTGCCATCTTAAATGCATTATAAAACAATCCTGACATAACCTTTGCATCTGCCCATAATGGGTTATGGACAGAAGCTTGGAAAAAATCAAGTAATGTTGATCTCTACTCTGCTTTCTTCGCTTAAGTGCTTGGAATCAAAAGTCAGCAGTGTGTCCACACCACATTGCGTTCCTCTAATAACATCTTTTAACAAGAAAGAAAGAATTAATCTAAAACAATTAATGAAAAAAATTGAGCATAGGAGATATTAAATGAAGGCCTGATTAGAAGAATAAAATCCCACAAAATGTGAAAATAGTAGTTAATTAGCTTTCCATCCAATGCGACATTCTACTTATATGGTTTTTAATGGACTATCAAGTGACTGTTTTACACTGCTAAAAGAAAGCTAAAATAATACTGTGAATTTCATTGTGAATATGCAAATAAGCAGGCACTGATGGGCTACACCATAAAATGTGCTCTTAGGAGAATTTTGGGAGAAGCTACAATATGTATTTCTTCCTAATTTGGGTGCTTTTTTTCCCCACCCAAAGTTTCTCTTCTAGCCAGAGAAATAAACGATATTAGAGAAAGGAGGACAACTGAAGCAGAGGCACAAAAATTGAGTTGCACTTAGCTTTTACATACTAACCAATGTCAAATTCTTCATAAAATGTATCTCTGCATACCCAACTATACAAAGGTAAAAATACACAGTACATTGTGTCATGACTCCCTTAAAATGGCCTTCGGACACCACTCAGTATATATGAGAATCTTCCATTCTGTATGTTTCTATCAGAAAGAAGAAAACACCCTTGTCCTAATAAGATTGCTTAGTTGTCTTTTTAAAGCATGAAATAAAAGGGGACACTTTTTAAAGTTTTCTTTTCACCCATTCTCCAAAACTTTCAGATTTATTCCATTTTGAATGGTAAATGAAAAGTAACTAAGTTCTATTAGACCATGAGATTAAAAGCAGACTAAAGAGGACTGGCCGAGTGGCGCAATGGTTAAGAACTGGCTTGGGATGCCAGAGGGCCCCGGTTCGGATCCCACATATGAGGGCCAGTGACACTGCCCTCCACACCTAAGATGCTGAACAACAGCTCGACCTGGAGCTGGGCTGCCATGGGTCCCCGGCGACGGTGGAGGCTGCAGCCCCTGTGGCAGTGGGTTGCCATGGGCTACTGTATGTAGCCAGCAGCCAGCGTGAGCGGCCAGCAGCTGCAGTGAGCGGCCGTCCAGAAGTCTGTGACTGATCTGCCTCGCCCCGGAAGAGCGCAATGATGTTGCCAACTTGGGCCAGTGAAGCAACGTCCTCCACAACTAGACTGAAGAACAAAATGACAGCAACTTGTCTGTTCCCCTTCCCCCCCAATTCCCCAGCACTGTTCCCATTCCCCCAATTCCCCAATAAAAATCTTTAAACAAAACAAAACAAAACACAACAAAAAGCAGACTAAAGTGCTAGCTGAGTGGCTCAGTTGGTTAAGAGCTCGCCCAGGAGTGCAAGCTCTGAGCAACAGCGGTTTGAGTCCTGGCTCGAGCTGAGCTGCCGCTGAGTTGCCAACAGGTGGCAGGATGGCTCAGCTGAAGAAAAAAGAAAAAGCAGACTAAAAAACTAAAAATAAGGATGAACAATTAGAACTCCTAAAATAGAAGTCATGTTTGGTATTTTGATCAGTATTTTTTGTGCAGAGAGAGAAATATAGTTATAATAGCAATATACGATGTCAGAGGGGTAGATTGGGAGAGGGGGTTATAACTTTGTGAGGGTTGTAAATGTCTAACTATTACATTGTTTTGTACACCTGAAAATAATAAAAAAATGAATATCACAGCAAATTGAAAGCTGTTCTGAGGTAGCTATCATTTCAAAGAAATATTGAACTACCTTGAAGCTAAAAGCAAAGATGGCAGGAGAGTATAAGTGGTTGGACAACCTTGCTCTAGTCATGATTTCGATACTCACAGTGGAGTCATTTTGTGCTTATCTGAGATTAATTTGAAATAAGTATTAGCATCTAACATTAAGCACTTTCAGGGAGCCATATATAAAAGTTTTTAGCTGAAACTAACTGACTAATGCTAAGGCTTCCAAAAAGTTCTACAGACACCACCATCTTAAATGTTTTAGAACTGCATTAAGTATCTTGAATTTATTGCAATATGTATAAAGGATATATGGTAAAAAGATTTTGCAAGTTTATATCATACACAAAGTACCTTTACTATTATCTGACAGGACTAATCCTAATCTCATGCTTGCTAGAAGCGAACGGGAAGGAAAACATAATATGTGGTAAATTGACATTTTGAGGTAAGGAAGCTTTCAGAGCGCCTATCTCTAGGAGGCCACATTTTCCTACTCCAAATGAAAACTTTAATGTTGCCAGCCAAGCCTCATTCCCTTTCTTGATAAGCTATTTCTCAAATGTGAATGCAGATTAATCCTCTTTTAATAAGCATTAACTCAGCCCAGATAATCAGAGTATAAAAATTCCATCGAATCTTTTAGCTGTCCTTGGATAGTTCTGTCAAATAATTTATATTTTACCAACAGTTTTAAAAGCTATGCTTGAAGTGTTTAGCATCTCATAATTTGCTCACTTATTAAAATGTTTATATTTGTTGAGTTTATAAAATCTCTTATCCTCAGAGGCAATAACAGTCATAAAATGAAACTCACTCACTTAAAAGTAAAAATATATTTACTTTCATTAAAAAGTTGACACTTTAAAAATTGTGACTAGAAAAGTGAACAATATAAATTTGAAAAGAGTCATGTAGCGTTCACGTGGATTATAATATGAATATATATAATATTTTATATTTATATTTTATGTTAATATAAAATAATATATTTTATATATAATACATAGTATATAGGATATTCATGAAAGCTACATTTCTTTCATTCAGATTTATGCTTAGCACTTTTCTATTCACAAACACTTAAACATATGATCAAAATCTTCTCTAGTTTCAAAAATCACTGAATATTTTCTGCCTGAATCTTTTTAGAATTTTATTTCACCCTATAACAACTTAGGTGTTGAATTCTTCTGGCACTCAGGAATGTCACATGCAGCGACAAGTAGACTGTTAGTGCTCAATGAAGATAATGATAAATAACACCGCAGGTTGCTATAGAAATATATAAAATGATTTCATGTAGAATATGAGATATGAGGATACTTTTGCTGTTCTAGCTGCCTGTCTTTGTGTCACATGCAAACCTGTGGTGCATGTTTGTGTCTGAAGAATTTAAATGAAGGATGAACAGGGAAAATAAAATGAATAGGAAGTTAACATGCACTGTTGTCCTAGGGAAATTTCTAATTTTTGCTATGCAAAGAAGCAAAGCATGTTCAGTCCAATTCTTCTTCCAGGTCATTTAAGTGTATAAGGTTGCATTTGATTCTTGATAGTTGCTTTTGCCATTAAAAGCGTCAACACACTAGTGTTCTATGATAATTATGTTAAATTTCTGACAGATAAGAAAAAATATTAATACAGAGTAACAGTTTTTTTCCCCTTCCTTCTAAGCATTCAAATATGAGTTTTCACATGACGGAGAGTCACAGACACATCAGAATAAAAATCAGTGAGTAAGTTTTTACCTACACAGTGTGAGTGAAAAGCATCCTGCCAAGAATTTGGAATTTCCAACCTAAAAGGTATTTATATGTCTCCCCACTAGTTAAAATCTTCCCTGTTCTACCTCTAGTGGTTAAAAAGAGACTTGGAATGAAGAAGAAGAAAGGGAATGCTGAAACCAAATTGTACCTGCTTCACAATTTGCTCAGGGTCAGTCTAGCTTTACTAAAATGCATGTCTTTTAACATATGTAACTTGTATCAGATATTTAAATATAATCCAACATCACACTTGGGGTTTGAAATAAATTAAGCATCTTATGTTATAAATTAATTTAAATACTTATCCCAAAGTAGACTTTTTGTCTATCTAGAAAAAGTTATTTTACTATCATGAATCAGTAACAAAATTTTGAGACTATACAGACATTATCATGTAGTGAAAAACTGGAAATATAAGGCCTTTCATCTTGTTAGTAAAATTACATTGTTTTCTTACTTGTGAAATTTATGATGCCCAGAGAAAGTTTTATGAAAACCGAAACATAAACAGAACCAGTACAAGTAGAGTATATTCTCTATAATTTTTATAACACACTTCAGAGAAAAATAGCCATGTATGAAATCTCTGTGCTTTTAAAATGGATCATTAGCTCATGCATGAAATATCAGAAATTGAAACCTATGATAAATAGTCCATTAATCATTTCTATTAAATTCTCCATATTCTCGAAGTTGTATGAGGACAAGAATATGAAATTTTTAACAGGTGTAATATATGATATTTATGGAGGAAAATGTGTAGAAAATATCACCAAGTCAGATATGTAATGCTAGGTACCTGTGGTTTCAATTTACATTTGCTTCTCACCTAGAAGAATAGAACAGCATTTGCTGGGAGGCAAATTACTAGTTGAAGGTGAATCCATTCTGAGAGTCAGCCATCTATCAATTAAGTATAAAGGTTTTAAACGCTGCTCTCTCTTGGTCTTATTCCAAAATATTTGAAGGGCATAGCACCTTCTGAGCTAGCACTTCTTTACAAGCACATGGATATCAATCACTATGAGAAATGATAATAGGAAATATACTGTTCTTGTCAAGCTCGAAGACCAACATAATTTCAAATTAAATGCATCGGTTTTGCAAAGAACTCTTGGGAAGGAAGTCTGTCTGACATAATTTCACTAAAAGCAGAAATCTACTAATTATAAAAGCAATGTTATTTATAAGGTGTGAGTGAATGAAGAAGTATGCAGAGTAAACATGCAACACTTCAAATATGTACATCTTAGAACTTTCCACTGAAATAACTAACATAGTCAATATTTTATTGCTTTCACCAAAGTCAAGAAAAGGATGAACACAAAATAGTCCTTGAATGAAATCAGTTCTTCCTCCTGTTTTATCTGATTTATATGAGTGTGTCACAATGGTGAAATGTAACATGGTATTGATTAAATAGATGGGCTGATGGACGGTACCTTCAAGGAATGAAAGTAGAGGACTGGACTAGAAATCAAAAAGGTTCATGCAAGTATCATTAGTGTTCAAGACTCTGACGCTCAGCAGTCAGTGCCCAGCATCCTTTTCCTGGAAGAATCTCTCACTAGTGTGCTGATATAGTGCTCAGATGACAAAGCATAAGGAAAAAGGCATCAACAACCAATGAAAATTGAGAATGACAGGATGATAGCAGATCATAAAGCATGGACGTCCCCTTTCAGTGGATTCAGTGTACTGCTTTCTCTAGTCCTGGGAATTTATTCTAATCAGTAATTGATAAGCTTTATTTTCATAAGATATGGACATGAGCCACAATGTTATAATCAAATGATCATATTTAAATGTTGTCAAATAACAAGACAGACAACCAAGTGGGTGTTGCTCCTTCCACTTTGAACTCTTTAGACATTCTCAGCAGCTTAGAAGCCTACAAACTATAGCAGCTTTTAAGCTCACTAAGCAGCAAAACCTCTGTAAAAATTAAGATATTTATGCTTCTTACAAAGGTTGTGGAAGATTGAATAAAGTGTCTCAAAAATTCTGAAGTATTTGTAGAATGATGTTAAATTAAAATGGTTGCTGTATACATCCTAGAAAGTGTGAAAAATTGTGAGACAATTTCTTTTTATGATTGTTGTTAGAGAAAACACTTAAAATGAATTGCAATTAAAATTGTTATGGAACATAGCTTCAGTATTGAGAGTTCATTCTTTCAATCACTGACTTGATAATTCCTCTCTCTCTCTCTCTCTCTCTCTCTCTCTCTCTCTCTCTCTCTTTCTCTCTCTCTCTCTCTTTCTCTCCCTCCCTCCCTCCCCACCTCCTCGGAAATATATTAAAGGCCACAATTTTTGACATCCTTGAATTTCTGTTTTTGATTTGAAGAAGAAACATGTTTTGCAAGTAGGTTGCACATCTAGGGTATTTTTCCTCCTTCTAAAATGCTGACTGGTCACCTTGAAACATGCACACATCCTGTTTAAAATCCTTGATTCATGCATCATCAGTTTTATTAATTCTGGTGAGATTTCTTTGCTTGTTTCTATTTTACATCTGGAAAATTTCCTATTGTAATCTGAATCTTCAAATAATAAATGCTATATTTCAGATCTTTCTTTTTTTTTCCTGAGCATTTTAGTAATGCTCTCGCCTAAATCCACTTCACAAACAATGGCTTCATAGCATGCAAAGTCTTTTTGTGTATGTCTGGTTGCAGCATTTTGAAGAACTAGTTGAGAAAAACGGTTGGCATTTATCAGTGTGCACTCTTGTTATGCTTCACTGGAGATACAAGCAAAAACATTGCCTTATGGCCATAATGTGATATGATGAAGAGCAATGCATTAAAACATGTCATTTATAATTGCATTTTACTGAACAGATGTTTAAAGCAAGCCCAAAACATTCATTCATTTCTTGCTTGCTATTTCATTCCATTCCTTCTTTCATTTCATCACATTTCTAAAGATAAGAGGTTTTCTTAGCTTAGTTTCTTACCTGCATAATTACTGAGTCCCTTTCTCTTCTTTCTTCGCCAATACAACCAGATGCTAAAACCCATCAAAATTACCCAGCAGGCACCACCAATACCAGCTATAAAGGCTGGTTGCTTCACAACATCAGTGATTTGCTCAGTTATACTGTTATTATTTTCAGTAATGACAACTTCATTACGTCCCCCTATAGAAGAAATGATAGTTTTAGTAAACATTGATATAAAAATAAACACAGCAATACATGCATGGTGCACCAAAGGCACAGAAAATTAGAAAATTCCCTTGAAAGCAGGTAATGTTTGTTTTGTCCTGAGTCTACACAATTATTAATGAGCACATTTTATAAGTTTAAGAAGAAGAATCAAATTATGAGTTTGAAATATGATTAAGAACATTGCTCCTTTACGTTTTGGTTTACAATGGACAGATTCAAACCACTTCATGATACACTGCCTTACAAATGAGTACTAACACAAATGCTAGGGGTTGAGATAACAGCAACTTTTCTTCAGTTAGATAAAATGGGTTTTGATATATAGTCTCGTTAAAATTAAAACAAACAAAAAAACCCCAGCAACATTCAGCCCAAGGTATTTGCAAATTGTCTTTCCTCTTTAGCACTGCCCAAATTAAAATATTCATGATTTAAAATTATGTAGCTTATTACTATTGTACCAATGAATTTTTTGATCAAACATCCTTTTATTTTCTTGAATGTATTAAACCTACTATATAAAACAATGAAATTATGTAAATGTCTTTTCATAAATATTAGTATCTATAATTAAAATGTCATGGAAATATAAAACTCGTATGTTCCCTTAAAGTATTTGAAACTAATTTGAAAATCCACTTAAAAGTTTAATTCAAAAGACAACTTTAAAAGTAATTCTAAAGTTCACATAGTTAAAACATGCATTTAAACCTGGACTAAGATTATTCTAGAAGTGATCATGTTTTTGATCATTTAGACCTTTGAGAGATAATTAAGGAAATTTTAATCCACATTTTTAAATAGGCTTAAAACTCATGGAATCATATTACCACCGAAGAGCAAGGATGTAGGCATTTATTTAACAGATTAAAGAATTTAGACACGGAGAAGCAAGTGATTTCTGATGTCAACATTGTACTCATTAGTGACTGATCAAAGACTAAAAATAAATTGTAATCAAAATATAAATGGCAAGTTTCAGCAAATCTCATAAAAAATGTATAATTTTTCTTGTTTTAGTTATCGTGTCACTGAAAAATATTAGAAAGAGCAGGTACTTCAAAGTTTCATGTTTGAATACCATCTCTGCCACTCCCTAGCTAAGTAAGCAGCATGCTTATGTAGGGCACTTAATCTTTTTGAGTACCTGTTTCTGTTAGTTGGCAGCAGTACTGTCTATTTCATATATTTGGGAGGATTGTTTGAGATAATGTATGTAAAGAGGTTAATAGTAACACGGTAGTTTGTGACTCAAAATTATGGCCAATTTAAGGCTAAGGGTTACTTTGAGAGCCACTCGCGTAACTTCAGGGATATAATGTATAAATTGTCTAGATGTGAGAGTTCTGCAAACCACAAGTTACTTGTTTACCACACTTCCTCTTTTTTCCAGAGCAGAAAGTTAGCCTACATTTCCCAGACCCTTTTACAGTTGAAAACAATAAACTGCCTGAGTATTGACCCACAATGCATAGACACAAGTAATGCTTACTACCTCCAGACTGACGCATACACTGCTGTGACAAAACTTGAAGGATGTTGACCCCCTAAGAGATGGTAGAGCCATTCATTGGAAGGATTGAAGTTCCCTGAATAACAGCATGGAGTAGAAACCTTACCCTCCATGCTTCTAAACCATATTAGACTGGACTATAAATGAGAAAGTTTTATTTTGTTAAGCCACTCAGAATGCAAGCTTGTTTGTCATAGTTATTAGCATTTTCTTATACATACTTATATTCCATTTCTGAAGTGTTTTTTGTGTTAAATTCCAGATTTAAAAACCAGATTCACTTATGTAGTGAACCTGGTTCATTTCCCCAATCTATCTGTCCTTAATTATTATACCTATAAATATAGTCCAAAATGTATTTAAAATGAACTCATGTTTTCAATATGTGACATACACATTTCTAATGATTTCCTAGCTGTTACTAGTTACTAAAAAGACAACAAATACCATGTAAAACAAAGAGAAAAGAAATTTTCTCCTTCATTTGTGTAAAAGGTCTATAAAATATCATATCTAATATAGTGCAATATTCATGCTACCCTAGGTGTATTACTATTCCTTATGCTGCTGGTATTTTTGAGACAGTGTTGTCAGTTGGATTAATTAGAGCCTAGACAAAGAATGTGTGTGACCTGTAATGCTCCATTGTTCTTAGAGACAAGATATATAATGAAATATAATGTCTTCCTCCCGTTGGAGAGTAATGCAGAACAAAACTAATTTGTTGAATGAAAAATTAATTAGATACTTCAGGTTCAATTGTACCTATTACTGTGAAAGTTTGCAGCTGTTCCACATATTATTATCAACTGTATAAGGTAAGCGTGAAATGGCCAAATGATTAAACAAACAATAGACATGTTAGTACGTAAGATTACTAAAATTTTTAAGTCCATGTAAATTTGTTATATGGCATACTACTTGATGCCTATATATATATATATATATATATATATATATATATATATATATATATATATATATATATA